CATCTGTTTACAGGCTCTGTGGGTTCCTGTCTCGTCAGCAGTCTCTTCTTAGCAAAGACATTAGTGGATTAACAGTCTCTCACACAAGGTGTCTTCACATTATTCAAGGGTGTGGACGTGCTGCTACCAAAAAGATGAAAAACGCTGTCTCATGGGAAGCTGAAAACCTGATAAAGAAATTACAGTCCACTGGCAATACAAACGGTTTAGTCAGTGCATCCTGCATTGAAGTGTAAAATAAAAATATATATATTTAAACGTATTTGAATGTTTGGTTCTGATCCATGTGAATTCAGAAGAGTTGTTAACCCAAACTCGGGTAAATCTGGTGTGAGACGCACACCCGCGTGACACTGATATTCAAACTGAAAACGATGTTCATAAATAACCCGTGGAAAAAAAAGAGGTGTTTTATTTAGAACTATGGCTTCCTCTGCACCTGACAAACAGGAAAGTGCGTATGCTGTTTGTGTGTGTTTGTGTGTGGTTTACAACAGGATGCTAAATAATCATAGCTCATGTTTCCACAAAGTACCGCACACCCAATGCCCCCCCCCCCCCCTCACCCATGAATTTTTAACTCTATAAATAGTTTTTCTGTGTTTTCACCCATGAGAATATTGTGCGTTTAAGTGTGTATCTCCGGCCTGCCCACGCACACACACACAGAAAGTGACGGACAGCCACAGCTTCAGCTAACAGTTATGTTATCACAAGCAGCTCCCTCGTATCAGATATCAAAGGAGTAAATAGTTGCTTCCCATCTGTTACGACTTTTGTGCCGTGTTCCGGTGTGACTGTGCGCTCTGCACAGGTATTTGACATTTACAGATACCTGAGTGCTTCAGTGACTTTTTAAAAATGATTTTAAGCTAAGCTGTGAATGAACGCCTTTGAATAATTTGGTTTTAATTGACTTGAGGTGTGTTATAACAAAAGCCAGACCTAGAATTCTGCATTATGTGGTTATCAGTCGGGCAACCACACGGTTCAGCAAAGACTTTTAGTACTTTGATTCTATGGTAACGGTGCAAATATCACATTGAAAAAATACTCAACTTTATAATGAGGGGCCCATTCATTTAAAAACTCATTGTTTGTATCGTTGAGGCGTAAATCTTGAAGGCACTTTCCACATAAAATGGAAGCTGAACCCTGATCTAGAGCGCTAGTCAAAATATTTACCTTGAAAAAAGCATAATAAGGGGCTGAGGATACTTTAGAAATGATTCTGGTAAAAAACACTAAAAGAAGGAATCAAAGGATGAATAAAAAAGGTTGTGGGGGACACTGTAAAAAAAAACTGGAATTATTTTTGTGCGAAGAGATGATCCCCCCCTGAGGGAAACATCCTTTTGTTAAAGATGTGAATGGGAAAGCCGTAAACACAACGGATACACGTGGGGAATGAATGTGTACATCTGAACAAGGCATTAGGACGCATCAGTTCTCAACGCAGAGTCGTGAGAAGGGAAACACGTGTAAGAAACCCTTGAAAAGCAAAAATCAACCCGCACACACTCACACGAGGCCGTGGCTTGAGGCCTTGGCTGGACTCCACGTGAGGAAAGAGTATAACAATGCCCTCACTCACACACACACACTCACACACACACTGGAGGGGGGTGGGGGGGGGGAGCTCTTGAGGAAACAGAAGTTACTAATTAGGTAAAATTGTACCACATCAGTAAGACGTCTGGCAGAATCCTTCCTCTCCCTGTCCCCCTCATCTGTCTCCCTCCAGATGTTTGACTTCCTGATGCATTGGCTTTGGTTTTTAGAGCTGTTTCATGTTCTATTGGCGCAGCAGGAAATATTGAGTCTAATCATTAGCGAGGGTGAATAATGAGCCCAGCTGAAACAACAAAGAAAGACGCCGCAGAAAAGCAAGAAAAATATGCTAAAGAGGAGTCGGTGAGACGCGTAGATCTGTACATATGATACGACTTGGACACCTGTAAGATATCAAAATGACAATGAAATATGTAATAACAAAGTCTGAGAAAGGCTGTAGATCTGTTTGTTTTTTCTTAAAAGGGCCCAGGATTGAAACCTTAACCTTCTATTCATTGTGTCACCGTGATCAGAACCTTTCTGTCAGAACAAGAGTAGGCGGCATTCCCCCTTCGTGCTTTTAATGGGAGCCAGAAGGAGTGTCGTAAGGGGAAACACACATATCCTGTCGGATGTGTGTGTGACGTGCAAGTGTGTGATGCACTCCTCAGCAGGCGGGAATGGGACATCAGCAGCAGGATCCCGCATGGAGGGTCCTGCATGGAGGGTCCTGCATGGAGGATCCCTCATGGAAGATCCCTCACGGAGGATCCCTCATGGAGGATCCCTCATGGAGGATCCAGCATGGAGGATCCCTCATGGAGGATCCCTCATGGAAGATCCAGCATGGAGGATCCCTCATGGAGGATACCCAACGGCCAACACAAACACAGCCAGAAAAAGATGTGGCCACGGGTCAGTGGAACAGTCCTAGAAGAAAGAGAAGGATGTCCCCTCTTTCAACCTCCCCCTTTCCATGACGCCCACTTGGCTTTACCTCACACTCCCGTCTTCAAAGATTACACAGACCGCAGCAGTATTCAGGGTTGTTATTTTTCCAGTAAATGTGAGTACACTTCACAAAGTTGGCAATCCACACGGGACCATCATCCCAAACACTCTGTTTAAGGAACTTTAAAAAAGAAAACCAGTGTGGAAATGTCCGCCTCACAGACTCACCCATACTTACATAGAAGACACACAAACTCAACATCTTTTACATTTTTGGAAGAATATTTTATACAAGTGAGTCATCAACAAAGTCTCAGAAAAACCAACACCAGTGGAGAGTTTAGAGGATACTGGGGGGCTGGAAACAAACCCATGCGGATCTTTATCCATTCAAGGGAGAAAGACTTTGGAGCAGATTTATGAGACTAATCAGTGTAATGGCTTTTAAATCGAATTGAATTTATTTTTGTAACATGTTTTCAATACAGGGCATGAAACTTTGAGTTTTACGGCTGTGACCAATTTTTCATGTACCAGTTGGAAATAATGTGATTTCTGTGTTGTGTTCCTGAGTTGAAGGCTGGTTATGGAGAAGGCTGTTTGTCCACATTTAGTTCTACAAAGGGATATTCTCCCATTGCCATTCAGAAGGCCTTGACTGTCATCCAAACACAAGTAGGTTGTGACTCATTCGTATTAGCATAACTTTGGAAATTAAAATAATAACCAATGGATCAGACCAAGAAAATGAAAGCGGACTCATTGTTATTATATGTTCTTGTCCCGATTTTACAGGAGTTACACACTTATCCTTCCGCAGGAAATCCTTTCAGACGTGGGAGTGGGCGGGTGACCTCACCAAGAGCTTCATACTTGTTCCCAGACATCTGTATCATCCACTATTCTACTCAAACAGAGCCATGGAGCGTCACCAGGCCCATCCGGACACGTCCCGTCCCAGTCTCGCTCTCATTGGCCCAAAGTCAAAGTGACCCAATTTAGACAAACAAATTTTGAAAGCTGAAGTGGAATCGATCAATCGGTTCGGATTGATGACCCATTCAAATGTGTTAATCGTGATTTTCCATATAATCTGATCAGACTAAAAGGGGGGAAAAAGCAAGAGCTGACAAAGCACATTGCTGAAGCGTGTTGGCACGCAGCCATCGAGGTACCGCAGGTACACCGGTGAGCAAATGACTTAACGCTGAAAGCATTTTACAGTATCTAAAGAGCTTATTGTAATTATTCACCATATTTCCAGGATACAGGCCATTCCAATAACAAATATCAGCTTTATTATTTTCAGTATCTTTTTGTTTAGACGTCGTACGCTGCTCAGTTCATATGTTTGCTTGATGCATAAAACACATTACTTTCTGCAAATGTGTGTGTTCTTCCTGGAAAAGGCGACAAATGTCAGAGCCGTCATAAAGTGAACACAGGATGTACCATTCACGGATTGTTGATCCTTAAAATTTTTGGACATGAAGACTTCTTCCTTGGCATCCGATATTATCTCCATGTTGATACATTTTAAAGGTTGCTGAGAACCACAAACCAGGTTCTGAGAAACACGTAGTACAGTTAAAAAGGTGATAACAAGGCAGGCCAATGAACACGATCAGAATACAGCGAGCTTTCCCACGTGCATCTGCGTCCGCCGCCGTGAGCAGATAGTCAGTGACTTAAGAGATAACGGTTCATTTGTCTTTAAAACGGAAACTCGACCTCTTACATGGGCACAACTTGGTAGAACACACACACACTTGTCGTTTTGCATCAGCTCACTTCAGTGGGTCAACGTTCTTGGATTGAAACATACTTTTGACAGATTCCAATATACACCTATGAGGCAAGAGGAGTGAGTAGAGGGAGGGGAACATCTCGCATAACAATTAAAGATTCAAAATCAGATTTCGGCCTTCGACTCACAGCAAGAGCCATTTGTAATTGCGACGGATTCCTGTCACCATACGGCCGGCCATTACCTTCTGTATACACGGTAAAATGACCAAAAAACAACCAGTACCAAAGCTGCGTTTCCTGACGGGGATTATGGTTGGACTGAGCCCTTCAGAGGTCGGTTGGTTTTGAATTTTTGGAGATTCAAGGTATGCGAGTCAGCCCCAGACTGAAGCATGCAGAGAAGAAGAAGAAAAAGGCCCAAGTTTGCTCTGGTTAGTTGGCATCAACACCTGTCATTCTTGTGCTTCCTGCCATGTTGAGTTGACGCGGTCACATCAGATAAAAAGGTAAAGCTACTTGACAAGTCTGGGAACAACTCTGAATCTTCAGTAATGACAACTAGGGGCCGATCGCCAGCTGTAAACAGAAGAACGTGTCTAAAGGTGCTCAGAGAAACGGCCAATAGGACGACGCTTCTAGCACATCGGTCAGTGTCAGCTCCATTCAAATGACAAGGAAACATCAATCTGGGGAATTAAAACTATGGTAGAAATATTCCACTGAGCAAGAATACGGCCAATACGGGGTTCATTTTAAATCAACTTTATTTTTGTCCCATTTCCCCCCCAAATATGTTACATACAAAAGGTGATCGGAATTGAACATTTCCTCGAGTCAAGACCGTAACATTTTCACAATAAATAAAAAAACAAGTATAAATAAAATAAATAGGACAGTATGTGCCAAAAAATAAAGACTCTTCAGAATTGGCAGATGGCTTTCACAATGTTGGGTTTTTTGAAAACACATGTACGTAATACTTGCATTCCAGGTCACAGTTTTTAGGATACAACTCTGGGTCGAGAAAGCAATGTAAACCGATAAGGATTACAGTACAACAGATTACAATGTTCTTTTTTCCTAAGTAGATATTACTGGGATATATACTTATGATGCCAGTTGTTCTAAAAGCTTATACCAGGTAGTGAGAGTGTAGTGCTATTGGAACTACTTCTAAACTTTGCTCAAAGTACAAAAGTAAATCCCACCTCTAAAACGCATCTCTCTTATCTTTGTATCCAGCTTGACATTCACAAAGGGTTGTTATTGCACTATACAGACATCCCCAAGAAAGGCACTTTTACCCCCCTCCCTCCCTCCCCCTCCCACATTATCAAACCAACGGTTGTTTACCAGCATGTGTGGCGCACACACACGCACTCAACTACTGTATTGTGATTCTAAAATTAATTTAAAAAAATGAATACCTTTTGGTATCTAGTTAAAAACTAATAAAATATAAGTGGTTGTAAAAGGTTTCACTTTCCAAATACAAAAAAAAAGAAAAAAAAAAAAAAGAAAAAAAGAAAATGTGCAATTGTGTTGCTCCCATAGCCCCTTTAGTATGCTGTGTACCACATAAGTGAAATTTGTTTCCAACTATAAAAAAAACAAAAACAAAGACACAGGGATGTTGGATCGGAAGAGGAGACAACCCTTTTTCCGAACCTTTAGCATCACCATCATCGAATAAGGCCAGGAATGTTACTTGTGCACGCCAGGTCAAGATCAGTGTGATCCTGTAGTTGACTGAATTCCTTATTGAATAAAATGAAAACCGATGTGTGCACCATAGTCCAGACAGGCCAGAATCCAACCGAGGGTAGGACGTCTCTCCCAATCAAACTGCAGCACCTACCAAAGCATTCTGCTGCATAATCGGTTCCAATGGAAGCAAACGGCATGAATGGCCTTGCTGCTTTAACACTTACGGAGCCCCAAAAAAAAAAAAAATCCATCTTCAAGGTTGTAAGCGAATAAGGGTGTTTTAGTGTTTGGATACCTTTGAGAAACCATGCCTGGACTGCCAGCCATCGGGGAACCTGACCACTCCGGGGTCTATTGGCTGCTTTGAAAGATCCAGCAATGAAGCATTGGTTTTGAGTGAGTAAGGGGAAGTATTTGGGTGTTAATTTAGGCATCTGCCTGTGAGGGATCCATTTCAGGCCAGGTAGGAGTCTATTAGGCATCAATACAGTCGAGGCATAAACTGGACAGGCACAAAACCGCGCGGCAGATCCTCCAGCAGTCACGAGTCCGCTCGTCCCAGCAGCGCCATGACACATTTTAAAAAGCAACCAGTCAGACTGCCTGGAGGAGGTGTTGTACAATGTCAGATTGCGTGACGGCATCCTGGGAGGCACCGAGCTGCATCCTCACTCATCAGCATGGTGTTGGAGAAGCTGGACCACGTATCGCAGCCGGTGTCTCAGCTCAGAGGTGCAGCCCATCTCATTCAGCATGCTGAGGAGGTACGTGCACGAGACGCGCTCCCGGCTGATGTAGGTGAGTAAATAAGAGTCCGATGACTTGCACAGGATGATCTTTGTGTGGTCGGCGTAGAAGTTGACCTGGAAGGGATTAAAAAAACGGTATGAATGCAAGGAGCCTACAGTCCCAACACAGGGGTCACTTGAAATCTATTGTCTGGGATTAGAATTAATGAGGTTTTTCCCCAAACCTGTAATGTGCCGTTGTTGAAGAGCATGACCAGAGCATGGTCCGTCTTCACCCACTGGAGCAGCAGAGGAGGACACCCGGATACTTGATCCTCACAATGAAGATCTCCACCCTGAAGCGAACAGAAAATATTTAGTTTGGACCACAGGGTGTCTCATTAGACACCGTAGACTGCTTAGAATATCCAACAGCTGATTGAGTGTAGAGAGAAATTCCTCAAACAATTAAAAAAAATTCTGAGAAGTCATTTAGTATCCTTTTAGTCACAAAACACTGAAATCCTCAAGCTAATAACCAACCGCTTGGCTCATACCTCCATAAGGTTTTGCTCCATGTAGTTGGCCATGAGGTCCACAATCTGTTTCTGGCCACGAAGCTGCTCAGGTAGAGAGTTGGCAGCGAATGTGAAGTGTTTGTTGTTGGGAAAGCGGTAGTGGACGGTCCTGTTAAGATGGAGAGTGAAGTGTTAACATTTGATAGATAACAAGAAACATTAGCTTTTAATTAATGTCCCATCAAAACCAGCGAGTATCTTGGGAAAGAATAACCTTAAAGTGTTCAGTGGTTACGAGTACGTACTTGCGTTGATCACAGAGGCTCAGACGCGTGCCCTCATTGAAGAGCACGCCGATGCTTTGGTTCGAGAGCTGGTAGCCGAAACCATATTTATTCGAGTAGTCGACCCACTTGGTCACCCACAGGAAGGACTGGGGGCTGGACAAACAAGGCGGGTTTCTAGTGGCTGGAGAAAGATAAAGATGTTAGACAATAGAAGAATTTCCACAGCATACTAATATCTATCCAAAGTTAAGCTCCAAGAAAAAGTTTAGGTTTAAATTTTCAAAGTCTAAAAGTCAGCATTTCACAACCAAAATTAAAAAAGGTATACATAATGTTACAAAAACTATAAGCTTAAAGGGGCTCTAAGCGACATGAGTCAGCAGGTTGAGGGGATGTGAGAACCTCGTGAGGCTCAGAAAAGATCTGCTGAATTAAACTTGAATGATCTGCCTCATGTGTAATTTATAGCAACAGGAAGTCAAGCATAGTTCAGGTTGGAAGAAGCATCATTTGTTGGCGTACGGTTTCGATAGCGCTGCAGCCCAATGCCAGATGCAAAGATTTATTGTCATGCCGGGTCGACATTGAGCAGATTTTCCAAACTAGCATCGGGATTATTGTGCCACAAGGTCCTACCTGCAGGCATGTTGGCCAGGCAGCTGTTGAGGACTTTCAAGGCCGATTCAGACACCGCTGCAGGGGTCAGCACGTCCTCACATGCTGGAGAGAAGAAAAAAAATAATAATGTACTTTTAAAATGTGGATTAGGAAAAAAAGCAAACCAAAATGCATTGAAACATGCACTTAGTATTGTGTGTGTGTGTGTTCCTACGTTCTGTGCTGCTGGCCGTTGTTCCCTTGAAGGAACGAGAGATTGACTTCCTGGATTCCTCCTCAGCAGGAGTTTGTTCCAGTGGCGCAGAGCCGACGACCGGGGCCATTGGAGGGGGCACCTGGGCAGCAGAAAAATAGAAATATATATAAAGATTACATTCATTCCATGGCAGAATAAAAGCAGACTGATTGAAATGAGAGAAGGACAAATATTACATGTCTGGGTTGTCTGTTAATCAGCACATGCTCCTCAACTGCAACCTGGTTTCAATGAATTTCCCCATTGGGATTTTTTTAAACGGCAACCAGACCAGAATACCGGATAGTTTGTAGTAAGATCATGGGGGGACTTTGCAGAGAATGCATTGACCAATTTGTCTTCAAAGTAACCACAGCAGACATTTCTCATGCCAACGCAGGACGGAAAAGAGAAATAATTTGTACCTCGTTGGCTCCCACCGTCTTGTAGCTGATTTGCCGGTTGATGGAACATTTAACGATGCCCGACACAAGCTTGGAAATATCTTTGTCATCTTTTTCCTCGCATGGGATCTTCTCCACTGCAAACACAAGGTTTTCGCATTGTTGTCACAACAAATATTCCGTATGAACACCTACAGCGTCTTGGCGTAGACGGAAACATGACAACATTCCCAGATTGTCGCGTCGACAGAAAGGACCGTACACTACTCAGGGACGACTCAATAAACGATTGTATGAAGTCACTTGACGGCTGCGTCACATTACCTTTGGCTTTCTTCTTGCCAAAGAAGCTCTTTGCCATTTTAGTAAAGAATTTCTTTGCAGGGCTGGGGGGGTGGAGCTCCGGCACCATCACACAGCTGCTGGGTGGAAGCTTATCGGGGGTGAAACCCTGGGGAGGAGGAAGAAAAGCAGCATGAGAACGATGTAACAGACACACATCCGGCAGCGACAACCGAGTGTCAAGCACCATCGTCCCAAAAAGAGAAGGGGGCATTACGTTTATACAGTGGATGAAAACTCAAAAAATCTCTAAATAAAACAGGACTTTTTCCTACTTTGGTGAAGAACTCGTGGTTGAGGATTTGATCCAGCGAAAGTCTGTCGCTGGGGTTTTTCTGCAGGATGCCGGAGATGAGTTTCTGTGCAGCGGGGGGCAGCGACGCCGGCAGGTTGTACCGGACGTCTTTTATACACTTGTAGGTCTCCTTCAGGTCGAGGGTCTCAAAAGGAGGGCTGCCGCACATCAGGGTGTACCTGAACGGGATACGGCAAGGTCAACTCAAGATAATCATTCACACTGAAAAAAAATAAATAAATACTAAAAAACTGTAAATAAATATATAAATAAAACAGAAAATGACTCACATGACGCATCCCAGGGACCAGACGTCGGACTCCGTGCCGTGGCCCTGCCTGTTGAGCACCTCGGGGGCCAAGTAGTTTGGAGTCCCGCAGATCGTTCTGAGAAAACCAAGCACAGGAGACGTTTACTGATTCGGAGCCTTTTGCTCTGCACATGCACACAAGGAAGTCGTGGTTGAGGGATTCTTTTTTTTTTTTTTTCTTCCATTCCACAGGAAGGCGTGAAACTGGTATTGAAACTCTGCTCTACATTCAACTGCCACTTGGAAACCAGTTTAGTTGGGTACTTAAAGGGAAAGATGTGGTTGGGGGAATGTTGCCGCTGACGTAATGGTTTTGTGGCGAGTGCAGATTGCGCAAGTCTAGAAAAGGGGCTTCTGGATCTTCAGTTAAATCAACATTCCCCCCCCCGCCAAACTTATATTTGGGAAGAAAATGACCCTCGTCAACCTTCTGCTGGAAAACAACAAAGTTCTATAACATCAACACAAACATACGCACTTTTTCCTCAGCTCGACCGTCTCCAGCTTGGCGGCGAGGCCAAAGTCTCCCAGCCGCAGCTCCATGTTCTCGTTGACAAAGAAGTTGCCTGAAAGGGGACAGAAACCATTTCGCCCGGTCAGCATTCCGCAGCTAACATGTGCCGCCACCCTCCCTCCCCCCCCGAAAGTCACAGCAGATTCCTGGGATGCTTGTTGTGCGCGTACGCCATACATACATACATACACATACCCAGCTTGAGGTCTCGGTGCAGGATCCCTCTGCTGTGGATGTACTTGAGGCCGGATATGATGTGTCGGAGGTAATATCGCACTTCTGGCTCCGTGAGCGTGTGTCTCGCCTTCCAAATGTGTGCCAGCGACTGCAGGGAGGGGGGGGAAGAGAGAGAGCATCGGGTGAGCCGTCGACCCCGCATCCGTCAGGGGGATTACACAACGCCGCTGCACATCACAACCGCCAGTGGCACACACACACACAAGTTAGCTGCTTCTGTGATCGGGTGGGCGCCCCGGACCCTTCAATAGTCATGAGGGTACTGGCTTTGTGTAGTTCCTCCAGTGTGTGTGTGTGTTAGTCTCTGTTGTGCCACAGAGGAGCGTTATAAATACAGGTGCGTATGAGCAAACAGAAACCCGTACACTGTGTACAGTCTAAATTCCTGACGCCTCACCTTACGACTGCAGAGCTCGAGGAAGATGTAGATGTTCTCTTGGTCTTCGAAATGATGGGAGAATTTCACCACATGCTTGTGCGACAGGGTTTTGTGGAGCTCGATCTCGTTCGTGATCTGTTTTGCGATCAGACAAGGAGTCAGTTTGCGCGCACACACACACACACACACACACACATTTCAATGCAGGTTATCGCCCGGGCCTCTCTCCGCCAGACGGAAACAAGCTCCCAGTCACGTACCTTGTCCCGTTGGTGGGGCTTGGACACTCGGCTCTGTGGAATCACCTTCACGGCATACATCTTGTTGCTGGAGAGGTCCGTCATCTCGTAGCATCGAGCGAAGCCGCCCTGAGGGGAGACAGGAACGGCGGTCAGGAGGAGAAGCAGCAGGTTGAAAAACCTGCACCGGCCATAAATATACACCAGTCGGCCTCAATGGCATGTCTTTGATCCGAGGATCGATGGCTGCACTGCCATCAAAATGATTTAGCCAATAAAAAAAGGTTGGTGTGCAGGCAAAAGGTAATCAATTAGAGGGGGAATAGCAGAGCCGAGATGAAGTGTATTCAGATACATGGTTTCATAAATCAGGATGATAAATTGACAGGCGTCTTTGGTGGTTTCCAACCCCCCCCCACAGATCATCAAGTCGTAACATTGCGTCGATTTGAGCGCATTTAGAGGCAATCCAGACAAAAGAGATGCTTGAGGACATGCGGGGTTGAGGCAGACGCAGCAATCGTTAACCGTGGAACTGACTAAGAGACGTTTCCAGCTCTGCGGCAGCCATCGGAACAACAAACAACAACAAAAAAACAGAAAAGAAACTTGGCCGGCAGCCTGACGCAGCGTTATCGATGCCCGGCAACATGTTGATGCAGCCTGCGCGCTCACACGGCGCACATACATGTGCTGTCACGCAGCGTTACAGCGGCCAAGGTGGAGGTGGATGAGCCAGGAAACACCACCGTGGATTAAAAAGCAGGTTTCTTTTGGAGAGCAGAGGAGTCTTGGACTTTCAGAAAAAGGTGTTGCCAATCGTGTGTGCGCTCCGGAGAACGGGCACACCTTGCGCCTGATTCATTCAGGAATGACGCGCTCAGCGGGGGGGAGAGAGACAGAGAGAGGGAGAGAGAGAGATTGCTCACAGCCACCACGAGGTCACATTCCCGCATTTAGTATCACGGCAGATCACAGCCAGTAAAGCGCTCAACCGGCGTCTGGTTCACGTACACCGTAGACCTCAGATGACAGCACCCCGGAGGGCAGAGACAAGCGCCAAAACGTAAAAACGTCCGTACCTTTCCCAAAAGCTTCCCTTTACTGTAGCACCGTCCCGTTTTGGAGTCTGTCACCACCTGAGCCAGCTCCGCTTTGGGCTGTTCGGGTTTATTCCTGCCGGTTTTCACCGGGGCGGAGGACTGCTGGGGTCCGCGTTCCGGAGCAGGCTTAAATAAATCCGCATTCATGGCGTGGCACGAAAGGCGCTGCGCCGCGGTGAAACAACCGGTATCCATCGAACACGGCGCGGAGGACAATCAGCCCGACGTGAGTGTCTGAGAGAGTGTGCGCGTGTGCGTGGATTTAAATAGATAGAATTATCCTTTTTTTTTTTTTTGTCTTCGCGTATTCTCTCAGTTGGCTGGTCTAGTGCGTCCGACTCGTCCGACTCCGTCCATCTGCCGTGGCTGGGCTGTGCGGGCTTTATAGGCGAGCGGTGACGTCACGGGAGCGGGGGCGGGGCGGGGGAGAGGTGGCGCACTGGCGGAGAAAGTCCAGACGACCTGGTCAGATAAAATCTGTACAAGTGGATAATGGGCACCAATAAAATAAAAAGAAAGAAAGATCAAAACAATAAACGTATCTGGAAAATGGAATAAAAAGCGGAAGAAGAAACATGATGCCATTGATTCTTATTCTGTCCCTCGTGTAGCTGCCTGGAGGCCAATGCCACGCTGTAACCCGGGGGGGGGGGCTTCCGATGCTCGTCACTTTTAACAGAGACAATGATCAGTGTTGCCCAGATGGAGCGCCATCACTTTATTAAGGACGTATAGAATGTTTCATTTCGTTCATCGTGACGGAGCTCGTGCACGTGAGTCATACATTTCTTAGGATTGAGATAACCTCTGCGCACTCACCACGTGATGTACACATGTTGAAAATGAATTCTCAAAAATGTGGCGAAGTCATACAATTTAGAAAAAAACGCTCAAGCGAAACAATTCGTTTATTATTTTCTGCCGAAATCCCCGGAATGCTACAAAATAAAAGCACGCATTTCCCATAAATCTTGGGTTGGATTTACGCCGCATGCGCGCGCGTGACACCTCGTGTCCACCATGTGATCTGAACGTCGGAGCTGCCACCTGGCGGACAAAATCTGGAGCTCTGCAGAACAGGGATTGTATTCATTCTCCAGAACCCTTTATTCACCGTTCTCCCGCCATTAACCCCAAAACTGATGACCTAAGAGACCGTGTTTGTCTCTTGAACATCGCACAGAAAGTCGCCCCCGTCTTGAAATAAGACACAAAGTCATATTTAAATTGTGCCAACGCAAATTGTACGTCTTCAAGACAAAATGGCAGCATGTCTGATAGGTTTAAACCCTGAAAAGCAGAAGATGAACCGAGGCAAGGCAGACTCAAATCAAGATTTATATTTGGGAGAACTTCATGAACAACCTGAGAGCGGGCAACAATACATGTAAAACAGAAGCAGAGGTAAAAATAATCGGCAGAATTGAAACACACATTATAGAAATTCACCAATGCTGGAGGGAAAGAGGCAATTGGAACAGTGCTACTGGAAATATAGTGGTCAGATGTCAATACAAAGAAAATGCAAAGTGTTTTACAGCATTTCACTATAGAACAGGAATGAGTAAATACATACAGAGCTACGTAGTAATGTCCGTTTAGACACTGGACTGAGACATGAGCAGGACTCTCTTTGCAGCTGTAACTAGAGCCGTTTGTGGAATGTCAAACTACTACGAAGAGAGCAAAAGGAGTCTGGTTGTCTTACTTCATGACGTTGGCAAATGTACACATCTTCAGCTCAGTTCAGCTGCAACAGGACAAAACGAAGATGTGACTTTACAGAACACGTCTGATGTATTTATTCAACAGCGGCCTGTTTTTAACAAGGACTTCCTAACAGACCTAAACTCAAGAGAAACAACTGCATTTTGGTCTTTTAACACAGTCATGTGACATTACTCAACAAAGATAAATGCTGCACTTCTGTTTTTGTCATCAGGTGGACACTGTCCTTATGTTTGTACAGGCGTTCAATAGTATTTATCGCTTTATGCATTATTTATTTGTAAAAGCAGGGCCAGAATTAAACCTTCCCGGTAGATAGATATTAATCCCCACTATGTATCATGAGCTGTACACTGAAATTCAAGATTTTGTGAGAATATGATTTACATATTGGACTTGTAACATTTAATATGAAAGTCGGGTGAAATGCATCCCTGTCAGCTCTCACTTGTTGAGGCTGAGGACACGCAGCAAGTGGAGTCTAGAGGTCCATCATGTCCTCTCCTCGAATTTTCTTCTCCTGAGACTCTGACCAGGCTTTGTTGATGGTTCTCTTCATCTCGTCATCTCCATCAGAGTAAATCTTCTTTAACATGGTCATCAGACCATCGCTGGGGTCGGCATTCTCCTCAACGCTGGGTTTACTGTTGAGACAATAGGTCAATAACTGTTTGTTGTGTACCCGAACAGCTGGAACTTTGTGGTATCCAGTACAGCGACACCTGCTGCACAGACACGGTACTGCACTGCAATCTCGCAACTCGCTGCTTGGAGGGATTGATTGGCCAGATGTGTATGAGAATACTGGCTTGATTAGTTATAAAGCACATTGGCTTCAGTAGGCATAGGGCACTTCACTGTGTACCAATTCATTCTGTGGAAAATCCCTCCTTTGTGAAATGTACTTCCTTTTCATTTTACTTTATTTTATTACTTGTGCACTGCTGTCTTGTGGTCTATTGTCACACTGTCTACTGTCGCGCACCAACCGTCAAGACAAATTCCTTGTATGTTTGACATATTTTGGTAATAAATGTTTCCTGATTCCTTATTTATCTGAACTTACTCTTTGTCTTTTAACTGCTTTTCCACCGTTGTTAGACAGTCCCACTTCTTCGTTGTCTGCTTCTTGCACATGATCAGGACCATGTCTGTTTTTATCTGTTGATGGGAGGAGAGATGGATAAAACACTGAGCCTGAATCCAGCAGTTAGCAAGGCAAGAGAAAATTTAGCAATGGCACTTAGCCATTGTCACTTAATGAATCAATGTGGACTAAATCAAAGAACTTTACTGGTTGTTTTCCTTGAAGTATCCTCTCTGCCGGTCTGCCCTTTAGTGGTCACAAACTGCTCAATGGACTCCAACCATAATGGAAGGAGTCATCATTTGAATATTTTTGATCCAAACAAAAAAAGGTACCAGACAAAATTGAAGTGTGATAACACACACACTTCAATTTGGAGTGAAAGGATGAAAAGCTGTGGTGGAAATGAAGACGCAAAGATAACATCAAAATCACCGTTTCTGCTTGTCTCACTCAGAAACGCTGGCTAGCCAGTTGACCGCCCCAAAAAACCTCTTTGGATCTACACGATTCACGCGGATGACATATTTTGATTTCACAACAGCAAATTTAGCCGAAAAGCAACAAGTTTGCAGGTATGAAAATGGTTCAAAAGTTAAGAGGAATACTCACTCAAGCTTTAGTAATTGGTTTAAAATAAAGTTATGGCTTCAATTTTGTAACTAACCCGACATATTTAAGGCTTCAACCTTTTGACAGAACAAATCCCACATTAGTGCAATTTGGATGAATAAGCTTTGTTCACCTTTTTATAACTCTCCTTTTCATTGATTGGATATAACAGGTTGAGGATTGTCATCTGATGGTTTTTCCCATCAAGATCCTTCACCAACACAGAAAAAGACCTGCAAAAGGGAGGGTGAGCAAACACAATTAAATTAATGGTATGAGTGGGGTCACATGAATCATGTATATCTGCTAAATATCATCGTACCTTTCTGTAAAGTTGACCTCAACATTTTCTGATGCAATTGTATGCACATCTTTCAATGTAAGGTATATTTTGATGAATTTCTCCGACTGGTCCCAGGCTGTGTAGAAGAGAGAAAAGGTTTTTCAGCGCTTGCAGATATCTAAAAAGCTGTATATTCTTACATATGACTGGCAGTCCTACTATACAACGTCACCACCATACCGTAGTTGTTGATCTTGACTGTGTATGCTGCTTTAGAGGCAGCAGATGGGTCGGCCTCTCTCCTGGCTTGTTTCTCTTTTTGTTGTCGTTTAACTGCGAGCTCCTTTTCCACCGTCTTCTGCTCCCGCTTTAGCACCTCCTGCACTCTTTTTCTTTCTGACTTCTCCAAGAGTGACCCCAGCTCCACAAAATCTGCCTCTAACTGCGCGATCTGTGTTGGAGAAAGAATTAGACCCACTGAGAAAGTAAACTTGCATAAAATGGACTAATTAAAGACCATTTTACAGAACATGTTTTAAACAATGTGTAAAATGTGCTCATTCTCCATTAGTTGATCAACTCATCAGAAGTTCAAAAGAGTAAATATTTCCTTCATAAATGGTTGCACAAGTGTTGCTTGAACGTCGCTTTTTTTAATTTAGAATATTTAGGGTATATTTGTTGTTACTGGTAGGAGCTAACAATTACTTCACTTTTATGGTCAGATCTGGGTATTAATGAACTAGTTTACCTTTTAACAGCTAAAATGAAAAGTAGTGTTTGTTCCAGCCCAACAAAAGTTATTAGTATGTTTTTATCTAATGCAAATCACCCTGTAACTTGGGACAACTGCATTCAAGCTTTCATAATTCAATATTAACCTACCAGAGGAAATATGCATTATTTATTTGTTAGCCTCGTGTTTTCTAGAAGAGCACCGATCACCCGTCACTGCACTTGAGAGATGCCTTGAAAGCACCTCGATGCCGTGGGGGACAAATGATTATGTTCCCATGAAGTCAAGTTAGTTATGGTGACGTCACTTTGCCAGAATGTTCGGGTAAACTCCATTCAAAGGCTAGCTTACTGCTAGCTAACGTTAGCTAGCTACAGACACACACAGTCTGATAGGACTAGGAATGTATATTTCTTTGCCAAGAATGCCTTCAATAAACGTTTATTTTGCGGTTAAAATATTAATAATTTCACTTGGTGGTTAGCGTTTTTTTCCTAATTCGCCACAATAACTGACATGAACGTAGCATTGCTTAGGGTAGAACCATGTCACATCTCAGTTCGGCTAATGACGTTAGCTAAATAAATAAATACAAGCCGTTGTTTATTCCTGTTCTATACACTACAAACAATAAAACCGTTCCGTTTACCTGTTCAGTTATATCCATTTGGCCTTGGATAGTTTAATTCACTAAGTACAGAAATGAGTTGAGCGTTTACGTTGCTGGTCTGCTGCAGTACTTCAGCCGTCACCGGATACGGTTCTTCTTCGTTGGGAATCGTGGCGGTTGTCAAGTGGACCCGCGGGCGCACTAGCGCCACGCTGTGGACCAAAGTGTTAGCATCAAATATACAAATAGAAACACATTGCCCTCTAAATGTTCTTTTAGGTAGTTAATTGCATAGCAATATGTTGTTGTTGTGACTTTCGGACTAAACATCGTAACATCAACTCATTTAACTCACTTTACTCTGAAATGGATGATTCAATGTGTATTAGTAGAATATGATGTCTATATTGCCGGTTTAAGGTCCAACATGTAATATTGCAACCTTATTCAGCTTTTCTCATTTCATTAGTATAGATACAATTATTAATCATTAAGTTAAGCTATGAAAAACAACTGCAATGTTTTAGGACGCACAGCTTTGGTTTTAGGGGACTCCTTAGTCAACACCTAAACAGAAAACCCACCCAGTAAAAAATATGGTTTTACTTGACTGTTTTTAGAGCAATAACACGTCTAATCTCTTCATTAACTGCATACAATAATGTAAAACAAAACAGGGGAGACGTTAGATACGTACAACAATATTTATTCATCCATTGAGTTTTCAAGTCACATCAACATTCACTCCTCCGAGAAGTCACGGAATATTTTTCTCTTTAAATATTATGTCTTTAGTTGTTTTCATATTTAGAAGAGCCACGACACAAACAAAGCAAATAATCTGCCAAAGGATTTGATTTATTATCTTATCAGAATATACAGAAAATATGCAGCAGTACTCTCAGGGGATACTTTAAACATTAACACATATTTAAAAAAGGTGATTTGCTGCTTATGACACTAACCACTGACACAGCTTTTTTCTGTATTCCAAGCCGACTGTAGTGTCCAATGGATCCCCAATCACCACCTTGCCCTCAGAATCCCGGACATCTGGTTGTGGTCAGCCAAGTGGCGAAAGACAATTCGGCTCAGTCGCCATCTCCGCTTCACCCCCCGAGGTCTTGATGTCATCACACACCTGTTGCGTATTCTCACAGGACAGCTGTCTCTTGGTAATGCTGCAATTTCTTTATCGGCCACCTCCTGCAAAAAATTGTTTTTAAATGCATAGGAATTCAGTGTTTTGTTTTTTTGTATTTGAAATCATTTGGAACTGCAGTGGATTTGGGTTTTAATGAATTGTATCCCACGATGATTACTACATATTTGATTATGGTAAAAGCTAATACATTATACTGGTGTATTATTGCTCAGTACTAAAAAAATACGGACCGTAAGTGGCATTTTGAAAAGACATATTGCACCGTACCTGAAGCTCTTTGGGCAGGATGGTGTTCTTCCTCAGTGCATTGATCCGTAACCTCTCATCAGCATAGTCAAAAGCCATCTGTCTTCTCTTCACGTCCCTAAGCATCCTCCAGTCGACGTAGTAACTCCTCGCCTGCTCCACCGCCCCCCAACAGCTCCTCAGGGCCTGCAAGTAGCGTTGAAGCAGTTTGTATACAAATGTTATTGTGATCACAAAGCTGATCATTTGGATTCATAAACACTGTTATGGACAACGGCCAAGCAAAGAGTCAACGTGGGTTTTTGGACTCACTCAATATCCCCTCGTAACTAGGGTCGCCCCCCGTTAATCAAATGAAGTACTTATTTCAAAACGTATAAGCAAGCAACTGGTAAATGCAGCATTTTTTCTGGGGCGTTTTCCCAAATCTTTAATGGAGAAACTAAGTTCTACAAAGTTGTCGATTTAAACCAAAGAAACAACGACAGCGATAGTCTCTAATTGTCATTGGTTTCAACTCACTGTAGCTATCGTGGCAACATATGTAATCAATATCAATGGAGCCAAACAGGTGCACTCATAAATAAATTATAGAATGACTAATATACGATATAAGATGACTCAATACCACTGCCATTAGTTTGTGCATTTGGAAACACTGAACAGTGAAGTCAGATGGCATTCACAATAATCATACTATATCAGCTTGTGTTGTCAGTGGAAAATTCTATATTCTATTAACCCGTTTTAAGTGTTATCGGAAACAGGACTCTGGTTTGAATATTTGATGTAGGATGAACAGTTAAAAAACAAAAGCGTTCTCTCTAATAAAAAACAGAACCCTGTCGTAGCTGCTGATATCGCGTCCCTGTGTTAAAGGTTTTCCCACTCGGACGTGTTTCCCCGTGAACACGTTTCCCTCTCGTCTTTAGGTGCGGACATCTCAAAGCAAACATGTTTTGCAGGTATTTTGTTAAACTAAAGCAATACAGATGTGCCCAGCGGCGCGATCACATCTGCTTCATTCGCTCACCTTCAACGGACGGACATTTTTACCCTTTTACATGGATCTGTCAGATAGCTCCCTTTGCTATTAGCTATTACGCTAGCAACACAGGTAGGTAACTTATCGTATAATTAACGTCATACAAGGCGTGAAGTTAGCATTAGCTTCGAAACTAACAACAGAAAGCTAGCAGCACTAACGTTAGCTAATACTGAAACGTTTGCTTTCTCAACCTCATACTTGTGTGATAGAGTCGTATTTATAACCCCTGATATTGGATTGCATGTGGTAAGTTACCTGCTTTGGGGCGCAGACAGTAGAATAAAGGGCATTTAAACCTAAACAAGCCACCCTGTGCGCCGCCATATTGACCGAGTCTGTCACACAGAAGCACCGAAGGAGGACGGCGCCACCGGAGAAATGTCGCCGCCTGTCGGGCGGGAGTGGGAAAGGAGAAGCTTATTGTAGAGGAGATCTACTGCGGCACAAAGTGTTTTGCAATGTGGTTATTGATGACTAAATTAAATTTGGTGATCAGATCAGTGATGGCAAACCAACGCGACTCAATTGCATCTTTGACCACAGCGGGAGGAGTTTAGTCGTGCTTGGGACTTGTAGTTTAAGACCCCGGTAATACTACTAACGAACCAGCAGGGAGCAGTGTCGTTCTATGAGCTTCAGGTCATATTGTCTCCAAAGAAGTGTCTAAACATGTGGACTCAAATCCTATTCTCCAATCCTCTGAAACACCAGACACGTCACTTCTCCCCTGAAACCACTAACAATGGAGCTGTATTGAATGAAGGACGTACATGTATGAAACAGTGTACTTATTCACGGGATCAGCAGGGGATGGTTTTACCAGGTTTATTATACAAAATACATTTAACAATTACAGATTCAGGATTCAATTTAAGTTGTTTTAAACAATTCCTATAATTTGGGATGCATTCTTGGATAAATACAAGCACATGACGCACAGCAGGCTTTGCTTCCTCTATAAAGAGTAACATCATGAAGCAGGCTGGAAAATCTGTAAAGGCTTGTGTTAAATGAAAATGACTGATTGCTCCAGTGTAGCTCTTATAATAGAGGTATTTGTAAAACTGATGTTACATATACAGCATCAACTCTTCTTATATGTTCAGGGTTGGTTGGTAACATTGTTTTGATCATTAATGTCAAGCAAGACAAAAAGTGCCTTTTTGGTAAACACAGCATCGCCATTTAACAGCAGCAGTATCTCAGTATCATTCAGCTGTTTTTTGGCCCTCAGTTGGTTTTGGCCTTAAACACCTAAAGTGGCAATACCACCAAGAGGGCAAAACCATTGCCTCTTCCATGCATTTTACCCCCCTGGCAGAGAGATGTAAAAGACGCGAGGACCTGAAAGCTGACCTTCTTTGTTTCCATGCATTGTACAATTTATGACACGTGCCGAGATTAAAGCTTTGCATTGGTTCGTCAAAATACAGTTTTTACAGGAGGAGTTTTAAACAGTCTGCCATCAGATGTTGATTTGAGTTTGTAACTGTTTGAACGTGTGAAGAAGGAGGTGATTAGTGACGTACACTGGCTCATGAATGAAAAGGCTTTTGATCCGCTGTGTGTGGCTGGGATTGCTCTGCGTTAAGGGACCAGTGAAGAGGAAGCACTCAAATAACTTCTTGGACTCTCAGACCGTATGAGTGGATAATACAAATAAAATATCACTTTTTTTTATCAGCTGGCATCAAAGGAGCATTTGAAAATAAAGGTGTCATGTAGACAGGTGACTTAACAGCAGTGGAGTTGATGCCTCACAGAGGATCAAGACCTCAGCCTGGATCAAAGCAAAGACTTGGGAGATTCGGGGCCAAAGCTGCGCAATATAGAACTGAGGTGTTTCTCAGATAAGTGAAGATTACTCAACGGCAATGCAGAAAAGTGGCCTTCTCCATGAAAACAACTGCAGTCAACAATACGGACATGCAGGGTCAAAAATGTGCAACTGAGACAGAGTATATACGACTTGAAGTATCATCTATGTACTTACACTGTATATAATATCTGTATGCATTATTTAAGATTCATGTATATATAATATTCATCCAGTTTGTCTAGTTTCATCTTAGTTCCAGTTATTGTGGATTTTTGTTTTTATTTTGTTACTGCAATGAATAACATAAACATAATAAATAATGTTTCGATGTAGTTTTTTTCCGCTGGGAGACAAATAAAGGATTATATTATCTTATTTTATGTAGAAGTTGAAAATACACAATGCGCTATAGTGACCTTATTGTCATCTAATAATGGCGTTAGATGGATGAGACGGGACCTCAGCAATCACCGCCTCTGGTAGTTCGAATAATGAGTGCAGTCATCTCTAGCTGCCAAAACAAAATGCATCTTATCAGCTAAGCCATAAAATCACATCATATCATATAAGTACTGGAAGTTATGAATCTCAAAGAAATGTACATTATCTTTGCTGCAATGATCTGCACATTTTTAAGTTCATACAAGTCATCTACATACATAACATCAAATATGTTAATACACCGTTTCTTACCTTTCTATTAAACTCATTTGGACAAATGAATTGAATGTATCATAATCAAAGCAGACGTAGTCCCGAATAAACTATAAGTGAGCCAACTCTAGTCTGTTGGATCAATCAAAAAGAAAAGGGTTGGCGCTTTGTTTCTTTTTTTTTTTTTACAATGTTTCTTTACTTTAGCTCAGTGAGGACCTATTTCAAACATCTTAGTAACTTAATGTCCACAAGGTGTTATGTCTCTACACACCAGTCTATACAAATGCGGTTAAGTGACCAGAGCCCATTTGAAATATTCCACTCTTTCTATAATAATCATTACACAAAGAAAGCATACTCAGATGCCTACGGTACCTGCTGCAGAGAGGGAAAAAAACATTACCGTGAGACGTTTCCTGTATTTCTGTGGGTAAAATATACAACTCTCCCTCTGTCCTCGACAGGTCGTAAACTTCACAAGCGGAGACACAGTTTGCAAGTCTTCAACTGGACCATTGTCTTATTCTGGACGCCTCTCACAAACTCCTTTGCCAACTGAAAAGAAGCAGGCACATGTTACAGTATTTAAAGGTGATTTAATGAAATGATTGACAAAGTGAGCCATTCAGACGAGTTTTTGGAGCATGGAAAAGTCGTGCAGTCATGCAACTGTAATTTAAAGTTGTATGTGCGCGCTTCAGGAGGAACTGAGCAGGCAGACTTTCTACGTAACTTCACACACTTGCAGCGTTAGACTTTTGTCCAACATTCAAAACTCTTGGTATTAATTAATTTTTTGGCCTTAAGGGCGCTGAATCAGCAGTCTCTGGCCATTACGACACCTCACTGACACGCCTTTTAGCAATCAGCATCCTTCTGAAGCAGATGCAGCTGATTTAGTGGGAGGTCGTGACCTCTCTGACTGCGGGGCCTCCGCTTTGCAGAGCTCAGGAATGTTTAGCATTCCCTGAGAAGAGAGAGAAAGACAGGGACAAAGAAAGCGTGGACAAATTTTGGGCGTGCATGCGAGCAGGTAGGTAGACTCGCATCCTTAATGTTCACATCTAATCGCACACAAAACAGGGCGTGAGTCAAAACAACGCCTTGGGGTTATGTAACAGTTTGATTAATGGATACTACAGGAGAAATTAATAATATCACAGTCTAGTTAGAGTTTGTATTGTAGTTAAAGGTACCAATTTAACTATTTGTACTTATTTAATAGTCAATAATATCATTATAAAGTAGATTTCAAGTATAAGATGTAGATACATGTACAATATGTTTAGTACAAAACTGGTAAGATAATAACCGTTTCAAATATATATACATATATATAATACATATATATATGTATATATAGTACATATATATATATATATATATGTACACTACGCACAACCCCCCATAGTTCCTCTTTTCTCTGACTGCAATAATGAGACCACTTGATAAATCGATCTGACTTTTAAAGCTTCCATTTATAATGTATGATGCCCCATAAAATGCACAAATAGCAAGTCTTCTTATTTTTGACATTTGCAAAATTGTGCCCATCAAACACATTCAATTTTTAAAGCACCAGTGTAGGCAACAGGTGTATGCGCAATTGTTTCGCAGTACCTCTTTTATCACTTCCTCGTACTGGCAGATATATGGTAGACTCAGCATTATCCATCACAATATAGTAAGAACTAGAACTGAGTCTTTTGGGTCAAGTAAAAAAGAAATGAGTCCCATCTGCAGATACGCCGCATTCACTCTGCTGAGGGGAATATTTCAGAAAACCAACAACCTTCCTCTCAGATTCAAGAGCTGCTCACCTAATTGTTTGATGCATAACCTCATAAAGCGAAATCGGTTTGTTTGTCAGCCTGTTTTTCTCCACTTCAGAGAATATGAAGACGCATTTGCAAAACTACAGCCCATACATAAAATACTGTGTGGCGTCATGAAAAGGTGTTGATGTTATTGTCAAGCGGCACAAGAATAAAGAAGATAAGATCTGAATTGAAATGAGTCCAGTGACTTTGGAAGGTAAACAAAGAGAGAGAGGGCCAAAGGGGGGTGGGGGGGGGGGGGATGGGGGTGTAGGCACATCTGGGATTATACTTAGTTGGCCGACCACCAATGCTACCAAGGAAGTGTAGCTTTAAAAACAAATCTTTTCTGACCCGAGCGAATCAGATGAAGGGTAACTCCTGGTGCCGTTTTACGAAGCCCAAGTACATTCTTCTTGTCAGAGTTTGAGGCAGTGTTGATTTATATGATGCCACCTTTTCCACGTTTGGGTTCAAATCGTATGTCCCCCGGCTTCCTGTGGAGACCCTAAACGTCTTGACCACCACTGACTGGGTGTGTTAACTTTTCCTTCACTGTCAATTAAAACGAATAATAAAATAGTCCAAAAATAGTGAATAATACAGGATTTGTTTGAAGTCCACAGAGAGTCACTTCTACCCGAGGAATCTGTTTGTTCATCAGCCGCAAAGGTCGTTGAGCTTCACCTGCTTCAGCTCGTGTGCTTTTAAAAGTCCTGTTAGACCTCGTTTCTCTTCCCTGAGGCAAAAAACAAACCACCCTCCAATCCCTGAGATCAAAAGGCGTGAGCGGCGTCGGGTCGCGTCGGTCGGTGTCCCGCAGGGTCAGGCCTCCCCGCGGCGTCTCCTGACAGGACAACCCAACCCTGAGGACTGGTATCCACATCAGCCCGCGCACTAAGCTCTGTAACAGCGGTTGACAGCAGCTCATCTGTCAGACTCGCCTTGTCTCCTCCAATCAACTCACTCGCTAATGAATAAGAACCCATTCGTCGCCATCACGGTGGCAGGCTCCGTTTCCCTTTTCTCCTTTTGTGTGGCATTTGGACAAAAAGACGTAGGGCACACAGTTGTGAGGCAGATGTGCGCCGCACTCATGACGTCACAGAGTCGAGACCCCTGCCGTTGTTTCGCTTCGCTGTCAGAGCTTTTATGTTGGTCCTTATCGTTGGCTGGCAACCAAATGGAAGCCACATTAAAGATAATGTTTGGAAATGTGAGAGCAGGATGCGTCGGCCGCTCACGGTAGTCCAACAACATCAGCAGACAATCCCGAGTTGGACGTAAAACATTTCCTGCAACATGTGTTGCCTCTTACTTAGCGGTTGACAAACTAACATAAAACTGTGCATTAAAGACAACTGGAGACCGGGCAACATGTTATAGTTTATTAACATGTGTGCGTGAGTGAGGGCTTTTGTGTGCCCACTAGTTTTTTTTGTATGTGGTACCCATCAAAGGAAGCTACATACACACACACACATACACGGGCTTTAAAAGGAACACACCAAACCTTTCCTTAAATGATTTAGGCTTTATCTACACAGCGTCTTCTAATCTAATCTGCTTTCCATCAAGGTCACACACAAAAACCTCAGAGACATTTCACATGTGCAAACATGAAGCCAGCCTTGTGTTCCTCTGCTGCAATCCGCTTATTTCTACGTAAACAATGAGAAAACACGTTTTAAGTGTTTAGACAAAAATGGAAACACTACGTGCTGTTCTAATGTAGTCTAATAACCCCCAGACAAGCCACACATTTAGTCCGTCTTTAAACATATTTCATGTGTTAGATATCATCGAGTACTATTTGGATGCATCTGTCAGTTGCCATTTTTGCACAAAGCCCATCAGAGTGTAAATCACATCAGCCCTCTCAATCAACAGTTTCCAGATCCACGAGGAAACCCACAATCAGTGAGGTTTATGTTCCCCTACCACAGTTAGCCGTGGGTGATTAAATACACGCCGTGGTTCAAAGAGGGGAGTTAATGGGTTTTTTGTGTATTTACTTGAAACGATCCAATGACGGTTCAAGTTTAAGTTACTGAAAGTGGTTGTAGAGGGCAGAGGCAGATATGCAGTAATTATAATTGCACAATCATTTATCTTGTGGTCGGTAGCCTCAGACACTCGTAAGTGGAGTTTGTGGCTGGAGAGCCCATCTGATACGGGCCAAATGTTGTCATGATGGCTTTGCAGAGTTTTAAACTTAAAGGTGAATTTAAAGGGAAAAATGTGACATTTGAATGACGTGTGCTGATTGATTTTCTTCCCGAGGGAAAGATGACAGGATCAATATCAGTCTCGCATCTGCACATTAAATATGAAGCCACACACAGGAGATTGTTAGCTTAGCTTAGCATAGGCTAGCTGTTTCCTACTGTTGTGGTTGTAGCTTTATATTTACCATACGGACATTAGAATGTTTTCAATCATTGAATCTAATCTGATAAGTATCAGAAATATCAAAATAGCAAATTTACTTTTTCCTCACCCACCACATTTAGTAAAATTTCTAATGCAGTTTGCAGAAGTGAAACTTTGTGTTTTGTGTGGCAGGTGCAGATGTTGGAGTCCCTTGCAGTAATTGCAGCTATTTATGAGTAAAACCTTTATTCTGAAGGTTAGGGTTCAAACAGTAAAGCATTCGTTATAAAAGACGCACAGTAATAAATATTGCAGCAGTTGGCTCGGGTAATGACACGTTCAAACTATTGTGTTGATTTTGGCAGGATATTGTTTTCATGAACAATGCTTGCAGGTTCTCAAATGCGGTCCTGACTACAAATATATGAGAGCTTAGCTGGCAGTTAGAACGGGACAATAATAAAGAGCTTCAGCAGGCATAAGAGTGGACTTTAAATCACTTTACTCTATTTAGCAAGCATTCAAACGCAAATCCAAAAGCTGCAGAAGACCACATGGCGGGATTGAAGTTTGAGTTATCTCTGCAGTGCTCACCATTTTATTAGTTCTGGCAAAAATCTGTGCAATTTCCCTACTCTGACGTAACAATGTTGTGTTTGATTTATTAGTCATTTGTGATTTATAGCACATTAATGGATGAAAGTAACTGTAAGATGTTTTGCAGTCTGCATGACTTTGTATTTAATAATCCCTAATCGCCCAATAAAGGAAAGATTGAGTGACATCCTCCACTTCCAATGAAACATTCCAATCCTGGTGATTATATGAAGAACAACCCGGTTTTGGAACGTGAGAAAGATGTGAACCACTTGCCATGACCAATCTTACTAACCAGATCCCAACCTGCCTGCAAAGTAGAAGAGCCAATAGTTTCCACTGGTTTAACTGAGCAGCCCACCATTAATATCCAGACATTTTCCTCAATTTGCGAATTGTAAATCTGTCGGTATCTACCGGTTTTCTGGGAGTGCTCATTTATTGATAGGATTTGTTTTCATGCAGCATGTGACAGCAAGTGTGATGATAAAATAAGGCCTCCGTCGCATAGAGTAAGAGGCTGCTGATACATGGTCAAGGTCTGGACACATCGCTATGAGTAAACCAGATAGAGATCACGGAAGGTTGACCTTCTACCTCTTCTCAGGAAAAAAAAAAACGGGGATAACGAGGGGAAACAGAGTGCAGACATGCATTGCATCAAAGGAAAGTAATATAAAATTCACCCTGCTGTGAGTTCTGTGGGAGCTACTTCACATCTGCTGCTAATATGGGCAATGTTTCCCAACAAGTCATTGTCCCCTGAAGTGTGCTGTGAATGTCATCGCCCCTCATCCAGCTCGTCATAGTAAAAAGACATTCTGGGTAGCGTTTGTATTCACTGACGCTCGGGATTCCTCTCGCTTTGTTAGGAATGATCAACACATTTGTAATGTTGGAATGAGGAAGGGGTGATGGATGGATTAAGGGACGTGGATGTTGTTGACCGACTACATTTATTTTTTTCCAGTTTCATTCATGGTAACTATACAGCAGCTACCGTAGGTGTGACTTCACAGAAAGAATAGGAGTACGATTGGTTCATATTTGCAACCAAATAACTTTTTTCATGTACCGGATCGGTAAATGCAGTTGTGGAGGAGTCGTCAGCTGAAATATGAACTTAATCAAAGCTCGCTGACATTTGTGACTGAGTGATGGGGCAGAATGTGTTCGTTTGTGTGTTTGTGTGTTACTGCATTCCTCCGTGCTGGTTGGGGAACCGACATTAAATATCTTTCAACACACGTACAACAAGAATATTTTCCAAGATGCCCACGCGTTTCTTTCAGTGAGGCAGTTGACTCTCGGCAGCGCAGCTCCACCGATGCAGCTCGGTCTTCTTGGGTTTCATGAGTGCTAATTGTTTTCCTGTGCTGAGTGCTGTGATATCCTGCAGAGCGTCGCATCGGCAATTTGGGTGAAAAGAAAGACCAAAAAAACAATCATTGTCCAACATGTTGTTCAAACAGCTTCACCTGGCTCCTCGGCTTCAGCTCAACGACACTGGGAACCTCACTTATATATTTATAGACAAATAGCCGCAGTCAGCAGAAAGTAACCCTGACACTTGGAGTGTGTGGTGACGGTCACGTGGCAACAACGGATGTATGTGTTCCGTTGTGTGTTGCACTTGAGTTATTTTAGGTAGAAGGTACTGCAGGTGGGCCGCAAGAGGTAATTTACAATAAATAAATAAAATGTTTTTAATTTTCAATTTTGAAAAGTTTGAAATGAATATAACATAATCTCAAATGGTGCGCCCTCCTGTAGCATTAAAGTAAATATCTATGAGCTCCGGAGAAAATGGTATACAAAACGTACATTGTCGGTTAATACATTTTTAATCGGTTAAATTCTGAAGGTCATTTCATCATCCCTAGTTTATGCTTTGATCAGAGTTGTGATTAAAGGTTTGGGTGGGCCGCAAAAGATTTTCAGATTTCAAATTGGGCCGCGGCATTCTTGAGTTTGGGAACCGCTGTTTTAGAGTATAGACGCTTGACATAAAACCAACCTGTAAAATGTACTTTTAAAAAAAATCTAACCTCGCCCCAGTGGTCGTCCCTCCATCCTAAACCGACTCTTAAGTTTTTCTTGGCTTGGATCTTTCCCCCTTGAGTCCAACCTTAATCCAGAAACTGTGCTTAAAGTCCTTATACTCCTTCTGCTTAAGAGATTCATTTCAACCTTCCCCCATTACAGCATACCAACCACATGCCTGCAGGGCAAAATAGCATTACTATTATTAAAGATGCATTTAGTTAGAAACAAACGTGCTGATGAAGAAGCAAAGTAACAGTGGGGACAACAGGAGAAGAAAAGAGTGTTAAACGCTGCTCATTATCTCCCTCCTCCTCTCGCTCCCTGTGCCCTTTCATGCAATCACTTCAGGAGGAGACACTCCCAAACTAACTGCCCATTGGCCTGCAGGGGGTTTGGGAGAGATTTTAGAAAGTGAAGAGAGGGAGAAAGCCAAAGTTACAGGCAGAGTAGAAGGTCCTTGAATCAACAGGTGGCAAAGGGAGAGGCTTGGTGCCATTTCAGTCCGTCAGAGACGGTGAAGGAGGAGGAAGTTAAAGAAAGCCCTCAAAGGTAAGGCGACATTCCAATGCTTTATGCACGGGACTCAATTTGTCCTGTTATTTTAAAGTTATTTCCTCGTGCTTTGGTTTATTTCTACGTCATTCTAATGGGACGAACATCTGCACTTTGGCCACTTTCTCTGATTGTGATTCTATATATCTGCACGCCGTTAGTTTTATCTCCCTCACTCTTTTTCCTTATCCAGGTCTCATCTTTTTTTTCTAAAATCAGGTAAGACTTTTAACCCAATGTTTTGTCAGTTACAAGTCTAAAGTTAAACTTGACGCGAGGAATCGTCCCTGGACTGACGCTCCTCCTGTGCTAGTTTGGGTTTGCATGCCAGCGCTTAATCAATAAGAACATTGTGCAACTCTTCATCACTGATGAACATTCATATCGGAGGGGTTTTGAAACATTGAATACGTATTATTTCATTCTCCAAAAACATTTGAAACTTCTGAATATTGTTCAATATTGTTACTGCACTAGTGTGCATTTTAGTATAATTTGTATATTATGGTACCTTTAGTTATATTCCACCTCATACAATTGGAACATTTTGTACTGTTTCTCCAGTCAATGTATTAGTGGGTTTAGTTATTTTCACAAATGAACACTAACCGTCCACCTGATGAAAACCTTTTATAAGATATGATCCTTTGCTATGGATTAAACCAGCCAGCATTTAAGCCCCACTACCTTTTGTCTTCATGACGACCACTTTCCCTTTTGTGAATTCTTTTGGGGGCGGTTGTTTTGATTTGAAGTGTCATATTTGCATTGTGTCACGTTGCTACTTTTACTTTGTGAATTCACTTCCTCCGTATACTTAATAAAAATGTGCATTTTCTTTTACTCATTATTTTGGTTGGGAAATTTGGATTAATCCCATAAATCTTCCAACAATTTTGTGCAAATGATCTCATTTATTTTATTTCCAACTTTGACAGCCTTTCGTTTATGCAAAAGTGAGTTTTTATTTATGATTTTTTGTACTCAGTTCCACAATGTATTGCAGATTATGTTATCTGTCAACAAAGCTTCCTCCATACACTTTTCTCCATGATAATAACATTCATAATGACTTTGTGCCGAGGTGATAGATGTTCTACCAGGGCTGTCGATGCAGTAGATTTACCTTTAATGCCACTGTGCTGGCTCAGGGAATAGACAGAAGCTCTTGCAAAATGAGCTGCAGATGTGGGCCCTCAGCCATGCAAAATGATAGAGAGAGAGAGCAAGAGAGGAAGAGAAAGAAGAGAGTGAGACATAATTCTGAGTGGGTGGCTTGTAAAAGAGTGATCAGATTGCGTAACGGTTCTGCTTCCACAGAAAACTCACAACTCAAACCCACACAGTTTATTTCATTTACTTTCACTGATTGAAAATGTCCCCGGGGTGCACTTTTTTTTTATTATTTCTCCGTCTAGAATTAAGGCTTAGGTTTTCTTTAATGCTCAGGTTGTGTTATTTTTCTTTCTTTCCAGTTGGTTAGGTTTTCATCTGCCAGCCCTGCTGAGGGGAGTGAAGCCTCTATGGTTGTGATGAAGCGAGCGCCTTATCGATGGCTACTTGTGGTCTGCAGGGCAGCGGGAGGCAGACTAAATTGTCAAGACACGAGCTCTGCTCCCAGACGATGATTGCTTTCAGCTTCGTTTTTATTCATTTTAGTTTCCCCTCCCGTTTTGTCTCCACGCTGCCGTGGAGGAAGGAGGAGGAAGGTAATGTCCACAAATGTGCCCCCGCACAAAAAAGGCTTGACCAAGCTGCTGCTGATTTTTCAAAACTCTCCATTCTTAAAACTCTCCGGCTTGTTGCTTCGGTCCAATGCGATTTGTGAAACCTGGCGAAACAGTTTGCCTTCGACCGAGGCTTGATGGCTGCCTAGAGAGGACAGGCCAAATGTCTAAGGACTGACCAAAGTCTGTTTTCCCACTACAAGTTTTTTCGCTGCAGCTTTTTGTCTCCGTTCCACTTGTATTATTCCATTCCCATTCCCTGCATATCTCAACCCAACGTTAAGCGCATCGACCTGAGCATCACCAGCAACACACATAACCACAGCTACAGCTTCCTGCATCCACACAATATTCTTTATGGCTGCGACTCTGTAAGCCGTAAATGCTCATTTGCACACATATTGTACACACATGTACTGAGTCCCACACGCTTCCTTCTCCCGTGTAAAAGAGTGAGCACACATCACGGGTTGTCAGCAAACATTTTACAGGCCCGTCGATGAAGCTCAGCCTTCGACACAGAAGTTATTGTCAGGAAGGATCTTCTTTAACTGTGTTTATGCACATGTTGAATCTTACTTTGTAAGTCAGGTTGGAATGCGATGTGAAAAGCCGACGTGCTGAGAGTAGCCTATTCAATGCATAGCATTGATATGTATACATAATGTGATATACCTCCTTCCTTCCATTCCATCCATCGTTTCTCTAATTAATCTGTCGACCCATCCACCCATCCATCCATCTATTTGCCCGTTGTTGCTTTCTGTGCCAAATCAATAACGACGATGTTGGGCTACCAGTTTGTTTGAGATCCATCTTAACTCAGTATTGCTGCAGCACATTACAGATGTTATGTCAATCATCCATCAATTCATTTTTCTGGAAGTAACTGATATGTGACTGCCCCACTTCCTTCTCTAGTCCTCTCATTTCCTCTCTCCATTAGTCTCTCATCTGTCTCTCAGCTCTCATTAGTGGCCCACTGCTATGCTTCGAAGGTCACAGGCCTATCTTCTCCTTGAGAAATACAAAAAAAAGGCCCGCAAATGGCAATCCTTAAATAAAACCCCTGACAGGGAGCTATAAACATGCTGGTTAAGCATCTCTTTGTGCCAGTGCTCAGTTCCATTCCACACGGCTGTACTTTACTGTCTATAATGTGGCCAGCTCCTGGACTGTCGCTGACTCAAACGCAGTCTCTCTATCATCCCTCTCTCACCTATTCACTCCCACTCACTTAATCTCCCTCAGACCTTTTTAAGACCTCTCAGTCTTTTCATCTGTATCTCCACTACTTTCCACTTGTCTCCCTCCCTCTCCTAATGTCTTGTATCCCTCATCTCTAGTTTGCCCTCCAAAGTCTTGGCCATTGATAAAAGACCCAATAACGATTTGGCCACCACACAGGTTGTAAAAAAGCAGTTACCCAGTGATGTCATAGCTGTGATTTTTTGCACAGGCATCGTTCTCCAACCTCAAGCTTTTGACCAGCGGTGATCAAATAGACAGCCAATAATAACTGAGGTTAGCTGTGTTGAGTGAGGATAGAAAATGGCCAGGATAATGACACATGCATCCAAAGGACTGGAGACGTTTGAATCCTTAAACGACTCTAGTTATGCTCTAGTACTCTAGTTGTAAATCATCAAGGTGAGGATTCATTGGCCAAAGTTTACTGAATTGAAAAAAAAGGTCCAATAAAGTTTATTTTCCACTTTTGCTATTAAAAAAGAAGCTGAATATACTTGAAAGGTATTTCCTTAAGATCTCTGTTAATCTGATAATGGCATCAATGGGGGTCTTGGCAGATTTTAGCACTACTTGTCGACATTTGAATGTTCTGACGAAAGATCACATGGTGTCCGGAGGGATTTTCAGGATCTGTTTTCCTCTCTGCACAATGTCTACTTTCCCATCTGTCCTTGATCCATCGGTCTCCACAAGCAAATATTTTAGTTTCCAATTGGTCAATTTTGCATTTCTCAAAGTTGCAACTATAACTATTTTACATATTCTATTTAACTTGTATTGTTTCTGCACTGAACAATTTGCTCAAAATAAGAAAGACTGTGAAAATAATCACAAGGTCATGCAAATCAATTCTGGGATGAAACCTTGCGGTTTCTATCTTTGGTTACACACTGTGTATGGTAACAACTTTGGAGTTTTGCAGTGACACAATGACATCATCAGTAAGGACTTCTGAAGCTCTGAAACGCCTGACTGAACTAAACGCGTCGATACTATGGTCCAGGTTCCCTGAGATTGAATATACAGTAGTTTGCCACACTGAATGTAATGTAACTTGCACAGTGTTGTATCAGTATTTCTGTCATCATCTCTCTCTACGCTGACTGGAAAGTAAAACGTAACACTCTGTCAACCTGGGGACTAAAGTCCAGTCGGCCACGACGACAAACATCTACAGTCACGCATGGTTCCTGCCAAAGATCCAATCTCTACGAAATGTAAAAGCTTGATATCAATGTTTATACTGTGCAAGATGAAACACAACCAACAAATTCAATAATGCTACATTTTGGAGAATCTGTTCATGTGGGGAGCAATTATTTTTTGCCATTTAGCATACCACGTACCAGTAACTCTTCTTTTATTGCTTTTGTCTTCTATTCTGCTGCCCAAAACCTTTTTCCTTTTTAATATTTCATGGAAACATTGCATTTTTTTATTTTTTTTATTTTTTGGCTAGAAGTTAGATGGCCTTGCAATCAGTGGCATATATACCCAGTGATGCTGTCCAATACAAATCAGAAAAGTTGTTATACAGAAGTTATGGTGTCCGAGGTGTCCGAAAATGTGACAATTATTTCAATCACTTCTGTCGTCCTTTAGCAATGACCGTGAGACTCCTGTGGAGGGTCCTGTGCCCACTGGTGCTGCTCTGCACGGTGTCACCGCTCAGCTCCGCCTCCAACCACCCGGACCCATCGGCCCCCCAGCAGGGAGGCACCTTCAGCAATGTCTATAAAATCGACATCCCCGGGAGCTCTGGTTGTAAACTTGAGCTCCTGCCAAACCAGGACGAAACAGGTCATGAACAAAAATAAGAATTAGAGCAAGACAGAAGGCAACTGAGATGTGAAGTGTCTGAGTAGTGTATACAGATTTAATTCAAACTGGAACAACAAGAGTTGACGTATTTAACTGGTTTTGATAAAAAAAAGATTGTTATTTGTACAATAATATTAGTCAACATCATAAACATATTTTCTTACAGTGTGTAGTGCTTATTTGTATTTTTAAAATGGAAATGAATGTTATACTAAATATAAAGCATTATAGCAGTACATCTAGAGATTTAAAAAAAGTGTAATTCCTGTTCTTTTCTGCAGGTCTGCAGACAGAGACCACGATGAGTGGTGAGAACAGCATCACCTTCCAACACAACATCCGGCTGCAGACCCCGAAGTGTGACTGCGAGGAGTCTGAAAGCTTCAAGTCGCTGTTGTACAGAGTCAACGGGCTGGAGGAAGAAGTCAACTACTTAAAGACCCAGTGCACTCAGGGATGTTGTGGAAGCGGTGGGGCTGCAGGTAAACTGCGGCACAATGTAATATAATTGAACCACAATTCATCTGCGGAGGCGAAAGAAGTTCTACAAAACAATACCACAGAGTAAAATGCCCTGCACTGAGGAATTTACTTAAGTAAAAGTAAAAAATGTATTAAGATATACTAATTTGCTTAACAACAAGTATTATGCAGAATGTTTCATACTTAGAATTCATTCAAGTAATTAGTTACTCAATGTAAAAATGTGTTCTTTTTTAAATGAGTGGCTAAAACGGGCTCTATAGAAGGCTTATACGGTAACAACAACCCTTGTTCACCCTGCTCTCCATCAAGGCGTGGACACAAGCTGCAGTGGCCACGGCGCCTACCAACCCGACGCCTGCAGCTGCCTCTGTAACCCCGGCTGGGAAGGCCCCGATTGTTCCGTCTCGTCCTGCCCTGATGAGTGCAATGACAACGGCCGATGCGTGAATGGGAAGTGCGTGTGCCAGCAGGGCTTCACGGGAGACGACTGCAGCCAGCAGACGTGCCCGGACAACTGCAATGACAAGGGACAATGTGTGGACGGCAGATGTGTGTGTTTCCCGCACTTCTCCGGCGAGGCTTGCGGCGTCCAAAGGTGTCCCAAGGACTGCGTCGGAAACGGCCTGTGTGTGGACGGCCAGTGCATCTGCAAAGAGGGCTTTTACGGCGTTGACTGTTCATCAGGTAAGCTATTAAATCAAGTGTTGACATAAAAGTCACAGTGCACGTTTGGTACGATAGCTGGGTGGTTTAGGGTGTGTTAACTTAAATGGTAAAGGGACGCAAGTAATGTCCCTGTAGTGGCTAATTGTCAAAAGATATAATCAAAATTTACATGAAAAGACCACTTTGCACTTTTTCAGTCGGTTTGTAACTCAGTTATATGTTATGATATGATAAGTTATGGTTGATTTTCAAAAAGCAAATATTTCTTGTGCTCTACTCTTTTTCTCTGGTAGAAAACAATGTACCATATTCATTCCGTGTGTATCCCTTGACACACCTCCTACCTAAATGCCTCCACCCTGACACGTGCCCCTACACCTCCTACCTGAATGCCTCCACCCTGACATGTGCCCCTACACCTCCTACCTAAATGCCTCCACCCTGACACGTGCCCCTACACCTCCTACCTAAATGCCTCCACCCTGACACGTGCCCTTACACCTCCTACCTAAATGCCTCCACCCTGACACGTGCCCCTACACCTACTACCTAAATGCCTCCACCCTGACACGTGCCCCTACACCTCCTACCTAAATGCCTCCACCCTGACACGTGCCCCTCCGAGTGTCAAAATAAATACTGTAACATCAAATAACAAAATAATGAAAGCTAATAAAATAATAACATAAAACAGCTCCAACAGTCCGCCCCCTTGTTATGCAAAATATAAACACAATCACAAAATAAATGATAATGGAGTAAAAATTCAAAATTACTTATTCACAGCAGCCAATCTGTCCTAGATTTTAACTTGACTCAAACGTCCTTGATGATTTTGTTGACAGAGTTCTAGTCCTAATCCCCGAGCAGCAGTCAGGCCTCTGGGACAGGGCTGTCCACTACACTGTGTTTGGTCTGAAGAAGAGAAGTTTGCACAAGGCCTTTAGTATCTGATTGGGCCTCCGAAATATTGGCCGTCATCCAAGCGTGTCTGGAAGCAGCACAGCTGCAATCACCACGATGTGTCTCAGCGTGCGGCTTCTTCTTATTCTGGACCATCTCTGTGTTTCCTGCAACGCAGATGAGGTCGGCAATGTATCGTACCTGCTTCCATTTCCTTTTGATCTATGAATATCTTTGTTCTCAAAAGTCCAGGTGTTGAAATAGGTTTGACCTTTATCAGAAGGATGTGATTAGGTGTGAGAGCATCCAAGTCGTCTCTCTCTTCAGAAACATTAGTAATAAGACTACTACACAGAACAGCTTCAACCTCACAGTTTGCAACCGCTCATCATCAGGGGACTGTTGATAGAGGACAGAATTGAAGACCCCCATTACTGAGCGTATCAGGCACTCCCATACGCCGCCGTGATAGGACGTCGCTGGAGTATTACAGTTCTATGTACTCCATCCTGTGCGAGGGCACCTTGCAACTTGTTGTGGTTGAAGGCAGCCGGCATTTACCTCTTTTCTTTGTTGGCTCCAACAAAACGTACGCCACTGTCAGACCTTACCGGTTCCCTTCTGCAGAAGAACCATCGTCTTTACACAGGAATCTGTGCCAAGAGCTTTTGCTCCTATCAGATCTGCTAGTCAAGCAGGTAAAGATACCTCCATATCTTTTGCGAATGCCACTTTCTCTTCTGATGTTGATGAGACCAACGCATTAAATTTCCTCTAGGATGTCTGCATAGGGGACACATTTGGAAATGATCTTCCTTGGAGTGGAGTTGTTATCCAGAACTGTTATCTGAAACAACATGTGATTCCTTCCGCTGGTTCCTCGCTGCTACAACAGTAATTTGCAACATATTTAACTTTAGCTTACATTTTCTCTGTTGTGTGCCTTTTACTTCCATTTCACTAATCAGGGTTTGCGTGTAATCAAATTCAATACTGATTAATTACGTGGTGAAAAATGAGCAGCCTATCTTTCAAACTGAAAGTCATGCTGGCGAGCTTCCTGGCTGGGTCACAATTTGTCCTATTTGCGACCAAGCTGGAAAGCCTCAAAACACGTTGATTATGTTCATCACTGACTCCTGTTTAATATCAATCACAAAGCATTTACAGCGGTATGTATGGGCTGCAACAAATCATGGCTAAATTAAACAGAATGGTACAACACAGCTAATCCATAATAGCTTCCTTAACTTTAGTTAAGTTGACTCACTCACATAGATTCACTTCATTCCTGTCACTTTTGCTAACTAATTTCATTTAAAGGAATTAATTGATTGATTTCATAATGGAATAATAAAAAAATAGTTTTATTTTATGTATATTCAGGCCTTAAAGTGGACTGAATCCGCATTGTTGGGTTCATACAGGTTTTGTCACTTTGTTTTTTTTTGTTATAGCAGCTACCAGCAACATTTCCTAAGTTTCTATTCCTAAGAGATGAATAGGTTCTGATGAACTATATACTTATGTGTGAGTTATATATTTGAGGGGCAGCATAGCAACTCGTTTTGATCTCTTTATAAACTCTTCATTTTTAATCTGCTTTTCTCGTGAGAATTGAGATCACATTTCTCTGCTTGAGTCAACTCGGTGGCTCTGCTGTTATATTAAGCTGTGAATCTCACGGAAAACCCGTAGGCTACAAGGACCTCTGGAACCATTAAAAATATAACTGTTGAAGCCATGTTTGCCGTAATATAAATCTTCTTCCTACACCATTTAGTAAAAACTTTTAAGATCTGCCTGAATAAATTCTTAAAACTTGCAGCAATTAATTCATGCTCCTACCAGCTTGTATGCTATCATTTTTTCCACTCCTGCTGCAGCATTTTTGTCTCATCTACGTTGAAAAAGACCCTTTTTTTTACTGCAGATATTGCAACCGGTCACAGTAGGTATTTTCAAGCCTTACTAGTTCCAGCTGTGACAGTGAGTCAGCACGCACAAAACCAGGACCCCCAAAACCAAATTACAATTTAGCCGTCATTCATTTGACCCAGTATTCACACCTCTTTTCTTAAATGATGGCAATGTTTCGTTTTAAGAGTCGGATGCAGTAAACACAGTAAATTCAAACAGGTGTGCAAGGTTGACAGCAGCCACTCTCTCTATGCCGCAAATATAGAATTAAATAGGAATCCTTTTAAATCAATTACGAAATCCAATCTGCTTAACCGTTATACATTTCTAAATAACTAACAGTGATACAGTTCTGTAGAAATAGTATAGTTTAGATATGGTTTAAAGATATGATGATTACAACCTTAAGAGCTCCCTCAGCACAAAGTCTTTTCTGAAAATGTTCAGTCTTAATAAATGGTCAGTTCATTGATGCAAGTGTCTGTGACTAAACCTAAAGCTGCAGCAGTTGTCGTGACAGCCGCAGTGACCTACTTAGGAATTCAAAGCATCTTTCCGACAGTTATTTCAGGTAGAGCAGCTGATGGGGGCTTTTCAGTGGAGTAACCTCTGACATCAGGTCACACACTGTAATTCCACAGGAATATAAAGAACAGCCATCAGGCTATTTATCCTCCCAGAAGAATCATGCCTTTCCTGCTGAATGCACTGCTATTACTCTATATGCCTTAACAACAAAAGACCAAATTGCATTTTATTCCAATTTAAGGCCAGGCAAGCAGAAAGGTGAGCAGCAGCAGTCAGGCATGGCGAGTTTAATTCCAAGAATTCATATTGTGACAGTTATTTCTAGGGATATCTTGAAGATTCAGCTGCTTATGAACAGCAGAGTTGAGCAGAATTCATTTTCAAATAATAATCTATACACGGAAACCTCTTGCTCCTTTACACGTAACCAAGAGCATAACGTTTGCTTTGCATGCCGACCAAAAGAAGCCCCACTAACAATTCCATGTCCTGAACTACAGTCTTCAGAGTCAAAGCCCAGGTTTCTTCAAGCTGAGTTCTCTCTGCAGAGGCCGAGCACAGCTAGAAACAGATCTGCGGCTTTGTGTGTAGGTGCTGTTAAAGGGAGTCCAACATCAACAGTGGCGCCGTGTCAGAGTAAAAGTCAGAGAGGCAGGGAAAGTGGGAGGTAGGAGAAAAAAAATACATCATGTGTTTTTTTGGTGTTAGTATTGGTAATAAGAGCTGGGAGACGAAGAGACAGTCTTTGTTTTACGTGGCTACTTGCCATTTTAGCTCCTGGACGATAGATGTCAATCTGCTCCCCGGGTAATGAACCAAGTATTGTTTTGGATATAGCCTGCTGTGCATCCACTATTGGGCAGTTTTATTCCGTGCCACTAGCCTCAAATTTTTTTTAATCTTCTATCAAAGGCAGATGGTTAAGAGAATCGTACAGCGATGATTCTGCCCCGAGATTTCCAGTTTATTTGACTCCTTAGATAAAATGATGGAATCTGATCCCTCCCTAAAATCGATTCTGGGGATTTATTAAAGTATGTTACAACCACTGTTTATTATTTTTTTTCTCTCTGTCCTTGTCTACCTGTTGTTCTGTCAGTCCACAGTCCTCAGGGTCTGCGCTTGGTGCAGAAGACCGATGTCTCTCTCCTGGTTAACTGGGAAACAGTTCGTGGGGCAGAGTATTACATTCTGAGATACCATCCCAAAAAAGATGACAGCACCCAGCAGTCTGTATGTTTTTTGATCAGTTTTTTTGAATATCTATAGGTATGCCGAATAAATGAAGTCGTACAGAACCATATATATATATATATATATATATACAGACCCATATATATATATATATATATATATATATATATATATATATATATATATATATATATATATATATATTTTATTAACACCATTGTCTAAAACCACTGCATCAAAGGTTCGGGTGTCCAACACAGAGAACTCCCACCTCATCACAGGATTGGCTGCTGGAGTCACTTATATTGTCCAAGTGCATGCTGTCATCAAAGACATCCAAAGTGAAGCAGATAAGATTGAAGCCACCACAGGTGAGAGCAAACCGCTGTTAGCAGGACAGAAAAATATCAACGGGGTTTTGAAATGAGTGTGTCACTTTTGACTAAAGGAGCCTGACGCAGATTAGGCCCATACATGTTTAGAAGAAGATGGTGCAGGTTTAGAGATGCAAGGAAAGAGTCAAATACACAGCAAAAGGTACTTGCAGGGACTTTAAATCCAGCGGAAATGTTGTATTTTTGGAAATGCTAAAAAAGTTGAACAAGTCAAGGCCTGTCATTACTTAGTGTTTCATTAAGTGCTGGGGTTTTTCACCATTACATTTAAAAGTAATTACAAGGAAATGGCTAAACAGATGTGTTTAGTGGAAACAAACCTGCTCACGGATGTGGTAGAGACAGATGTGAAGAGAAAGACATTACTAAACCGGCGGACAGAAAGAGAGAGAGATTGTGTGGTTAGCCTGGTTACTGGTATTCCCATGGTCGTGTTGGGAGCACAGGCAGACTGGTCACATGGTTTTCAACCTCAAACAAGTTTACGTTTTTACCTTTAATAAAAAAACAATAGCTGGCTTAAAAATATGCTAATCCTTTTCATTAGGTACCATTTCTTTGGTTTAATGTGTTTGGTACTTTTCTCATTATATGCAGAAAAATTCAGACATTCCTCTTTGCTATGTTAATACACTAAATGGTACCTATCTTCACACACAGTAACACTGATTTCATCTATTTATCAAGTGTATGAAAAAGCCTTTAGTGTTTTGAACCATAAACCTTTTAAATTTGTGCACATTTTTATGTTGTGACAAGAGAAGCTGTGGTACAATTGCTTTGTATACACTTGGTGTGGTTCTGTTGTGGTATCTTTTTTTAAATAAATGTGATTGAAGCGAAGATGTCATCCACAGTATACGGCATTATATCATGTTTGGTAATATTTTCCTTATGGTGCAAAGATAATTTCAACATGAAGTGGGCCGCCCCCCTCCCTCTCAGGAAGGTCACACTTCACGGCGAAAGGGATTCTTCATCTGGTGCTCGTGATTACAGGATCTTTAATTAAGGCTTTCAAGCGTCAAGTCTGTGCTCTCATTTCCACCTTGCTGTCCAATACTTCCCAGAAGTCTCCGCCATCGACGGCATCAGAGTTCTTGGCCAGACAGACGTCTCCATCCACTTGGACTGGAAGAACCCGTCAGCTGAAGTGGATCATTTCAGGCTCACGCACACCGATCCCTCCGGGCAAGAGGAGGAGCAGAACGTGCTGAGGAACCAAGAGGCGCGCACCAGACACACCATTGTTGGTAAGTGGGATCATGGACTGCAGTGCTGCAACTATTGATCGTTTTCATATCAGATGAACCTGCTATAATTTTTTCCATCATCTCAGGAAATAACCGTCCAAACGTTTTGTCTTGTAAATGTCCTGTTTTCTCAGATCAATGATGATGGATTATTTTACCGTCCATCAATCCAACGATTAGTCAGGCTACTACTGCAGTTTTTCTGTGCAAAACGCCAGTATCCGGTATTGGATGTTAGCAGAGCTCGCCATGCATCGGAGGCCATCCATGTGCCGCCTTTGCCCCTAATTCCTTATTCCTTATTCCTCCTCGCTTACTAGTATTTGTTATTATCCTGACTGTCTGATACCTTAATTGCCAAACACCTTTCTTTCTATATTGATAGATTTTATAATCTTTACTTAAACACAACACTCAATAATTGTATACATACACCATACTGTACATGTATGTTGTATATCATTATGACATAGATCAGAGTATTGGTTCCCTGCTATTTCGACTTGTAGGCCCTTCAAATTCATCATTACAGCCTCATGTGGACACCAGCTACCGTCAACCGAATAGTGAATTTCCCTCACAGATAGCTAAATATTTTTTTTAGATTTGAAAAGATGAAAGCATCTATTATTTAGCAAAGTCAGACAAGAAAACGTGGAATAATGGAAGAGAAATATATTCGAGATCAAAACATGTCTTTGTGCAGGTCTTTTTCCAGGAACAGAGTACCAGATAACAGTGCAGGCCATGAAAGGGACCACGGAGGGAAAACCGTCTTCTGTCACTGCTGCCACAGGTCAGTGTCAGCACATAAGCATCAACGTAAGCACCCATTTAACCCCATGTGTTACTCATATTGTGTAGGATATTAGCAAGCACAAAACGGGAACAATTTTCAGCAAGTTTCTCACTGGATAGAAATTGCACAGAATTGGATGAAATGAAAGATTGCGAGAGTGGAACGCACCGAAGAAGCAGCCAGGACGTCCAGATTCCACTTAGTTTTGAATTAGATGCAAACAACAAACAACAGTCGTTAGCTCTCCTCAAGCCACCAGTATTTCACCCATGGGCAGAACCTAGCAGGAAAAACATATGTGACATGCGGTAACGCTACAACCTGTCATCACCTCCCTCATGCTGGATAACAGCACATACAGCCGGCAGGATGATGTAAGACTGACATCTACAGCCCATTAAACTGGATCGGTGGTAATAGCTGTGTGTTGGGCCTGTTCACTAAGAGGAAACATGATATGAATGGTGTCATACGACTAGAAGATGCTCCCTGATGTCTGAGGTGAGAAGGTCCATGATGTCCTGAGGCCATCTGGTATTGTTGGATTACACCAGCGTGGCATTGAGTTTGACGCATTTGGTCTAACGTTTGGACGGGAGGAGGATTTATTTGGACGGTTTCTCTTTAAACAGCCGTTGATGTTATTTAGGTGCTTTGAAGTTTTTATTCCAGTTACTGAGGAATGGTCCACAACGGTATGACAGGTCACCAATTTTTCCTATTATTCTGCTCATTTGGCCATTGTTGTTTTTTTTACTTTCCTGCCTTTCATTTCCCTTCCTTTTCTTTCCTCGGCCCCCTCGCTGTCATCCACTGTTTGAGCTCACAGTTCTAAAGCAGTCTCCAGTTTGATGGCTCTTCATTTGTTAGGCCCCGGAGGCAGCCGGTGTAATGGTTTTTAGTCATCAGTGTAAGCCAGGTACAGTATTTTAAAGACTTAATATCATCCTCTGCAGCCAGTCAGGTACTCAAAGGTCTCTGTCGCTGCTAATCCCTCTGTGTGTGAGTGTGCCACCTACTCGTGCAGTAATTGCATGTGTGTGTGTGTGGAAATGTGCTAATCTACAGCAGACAGACAGCGGCTTGTCTCCACTCCACCAGCGACAATCCTTCATTTTAGGTGTTACATGTAAAGACTTAAAGGTGATTGAGGAGGATACGCCCCAGCTCTGCTCGCCAGGGAGGATGTGCCGGTTTCATGATGTCTGGCAGAGACCACACAAACCTATTATCTCACCAAACATGCTGTTTTCATTGGATAATATGGAATGAGAGATAAAAGGATCCGAACGAGGACATTTTTAAGAGAGCAACAGCAATAAAGAGCACCATAAGGCAAGAAATTAGGAGACGGGGAATTGAGCAGACACAATAAGAATAGACAATAGGATCATAATGTTTTTGTGTGGGTCGGACATTCTTTGGCCGTCTGCGTGGGCTGTTTCAAACTACGACCACAGTCAAATGGATCTGTCCCTCTGGAGCAGACGTTCCCCATCCACCGACCCGCCACGAGATTACGAGGCGTTAAAACAAAACCCACAGCGGCTGTACCGCTGATTCAGATTCAATAAAGTCACCGCCAAGGCCTGTTTAACCAAAGGCAGATGGACAGGGCTTTGGCGGAGGAGAGGGATGTTTAGTCTTCATGTTATCTGGTCACACTGGAGCCCCTCATGTGTCCCGGTGGGGGAACCCTCTCCATCACCTCCGTACAGTGGAAGATAAGGGAGAACGGACATTTTACAAAGATAATATTGATTATAGAGGATTGGTTAGAGACAGCACCATTGACCTGTTCATGTGTGAGGAGAGATGCTGTTTTCTGTTTGTTCGTGACGTGCAGGGTTTACCCTTAATCGCTGGACCCTTAGGGTGGGCTTACTTGGAAATATAATTGGGTCATTGGAAATATGACGCGCAGTAGTCGATTTGTTCCCTTGCTCTCCCCCTCTGGCTAGCTCAGAGGTGTTCAATTATTCAACAGCGTCCAGTAAGACAGAATATCTTTGTTCAAACTAAATAAAACCATAGTTGATTATGGTTTTATTGAACCCTCACCTGCATGGCACTGATGTCTGGTATTTGGAGGAGTATCTGCAATCTGTGCCGTATTCACGCTAACATACCTGTAACACAGCTCTTATTTGCATCCTAATTTCTGATGATTTAAAAGCATTGGTGCAGCAAAAAAATAGTTAAACTGAAACCTGCACGCCAGCTAGTACAGCGGACGGATCAGGGATTCATTTCATGCATTTCCTGTCAGCCATATAGGGTTTTACTTTCACTTTCACTCAGATTTGGCAAAACAGTCCATTCCACCCTAATGAATTAGGAGCTGCTTCAGGTACAAATAGATTGCTGGATAAACACGTAAAGACTTTGGTAACAAGAAGACTCCACAACAATACAACGTGTCACACCTGCTTCTTTCTAGCATCTAAACGACCGGCGCTTAGCGGCACCCATTTCCCCGTCGGCTCCACCCTGGGACTGCACGGGCCCCGCTGAACGGCGGAGCAGTAAATGATGAAAGACGGACTGTTACTGTGCGCCTCGTGGTCGATGCCCCTCGCTGAACATGCCAGCCGTAATGGATAAGTTGTTTTCCAAGCGGCCGAAGCCACAGCTCGGGTGCTGGAGCCCGGTAGCCGCCGTCGCTATGCAGCCAGTGGGGTAGAACGTCTGGAGAAACTCAATCCATCACACACTGTAATTTAGAGCAAATCCAAGGGACCCTTCAGAACGCAGTCGTGCTTGGAAAAAAAAAAGAAAAAGATGTAATAACACATCGAATATATCAGGCATTTCAGACAGCAGCTGGAATGCTTATGAAAGCTGGAGCAACTACAGGGGGCAACAAAATACGGAGAGGGCAACCTTTGAAGTTCAATAGAAGCTTTATTCAAATGGTTACAAACACAATTTGAGCAGGAATTCAGTAGCAGATCGTACTTTGGAGCAGTCAGATGCTTTTACTTTCATTGTTCATTTGGGCTGTTTGAGCGATTTTGAAACTATTAATTCATTAACTTTTTCATAATAACATAAAATAGTTTGCTGTTTTTGTGATCAGTGGGGAAGGGTGAGGATCGGTTTGTGAAAACATAAACACTCTCACAAGATTACGAATTGATTCGCAACATTCAGAAAAAAACGTATACGATATACTTTTTATCTAAAAGAAAAGAGCTTGCAGCTGACGGATAGTAAGTTAGTTAGATAGTAAGTTGTGGTGGACCGTCTATGGTTTTAGACTGTTACGCAGTGCAGCCCCAAGAACAGACAAGAGACAAGAAGAGGAGACGGACAAAGAGGTGGTGTGGGAGGAGGCTGCCGCGTGGTTCCTTTCTTCTCCCGGGTTGCATCATCAATCCGTTTCCCGGATGCAGACTGCGCGCTGACACGAGGCTGACCTCCACTGAGCCGCTGCCCCGGGGGAACAACCCTAAATGATGACTTGCGTTTACATTTCTCTTCGCATCCTCTTATCGTGCGTCTGTGACTCTTTTTCTGTTCTTCCCATCCACACACATGCACCACCTACTGCTCCGCCCGCGTCTTCCAAATGACCCCTCAAGCCCATTGACGTTTCAAACAGAGACCCTGTGTTGTGCTAAGCCTCTGTGTCCTCGTCCCACTGCAGCTCGTCCTGTGAAGCTCAGTGACGAGGACCAGACCATCGGTTGGGTTGTGATGTCCTTTTTAAGAGCCTCACAGAGCTTTTCTTTTCACACATTTGTTCATTCATCATCTTCGGTGTCCTTGAGATAGAAAAAGGGATGACAAGCTTGCACTTCACTATTAAAAAAGAAAAATAACAGCCTCTTTGCTCCACAGTAACAGAGCCTTCTGGCTGTATTGTTGTGACAGAAGCAAAAGAGGAAGTCAAGTGATGTTACCCACAAAGCTTTACCCACAATTTCCAAATGACAGGGAGTATAACCCCAGAGTTTCTTTGGCAAATGTGAATTGACCGGAAGGATCAGCAAAGAACGAGACGTCCTTAAGCGTTTGTCAGCTCTTCTCTTATTCCTTCTTCAACGTCTTCCTCTTCAGACATCGACGCTCCTGTCAACCTGATCCCCAAAAAAGTGACAGAGGACACCGCCACACTTTCATGGGATCGTGTCCAGGCCGAAATAGATGGCTACATGTTGAGCTACACCACTCCGGAGGGCTCCAGCGCCGAGATCCCAGTGGGGCGGGACAGCAGCTCGTACAAGCTGGTTGGCCTGAAGCCTGGAGTTCTCCACTTTGTAAACATCTGGGCCTTCAAGGGCCACAACGTCAGCGGGAAGAGTTCAACTACGGCTCACACAGGTAAACTTCGATGGGAACGCTGGTTCGTTAGAGGGCGTCAGCAAATGTGGTCTCCTGCGTGTGTCCACAATTAAAGCTTCAGCAGTAACGTTTGAAGTTTGAAGGGACTGGTGTCCGATGAATGCAGCAAAGATTCCACAAAGGTTAGATTTAAGTAATAATAATAACACTTTGTTTAAGCACAGTTGCAGATTTAAATACTTGAGATGTTTAGATACCATTTCTTCTTTCCCAAAACCATTTCTATTGTGCATTTTTTTAAACAAGAGTTCAAGTGTAAATTATTCCAATGCAGCAATAAATGGTTAAAAATAGGAACTATAAAAATATCTATATTCAATATTGAATACATCGGACAAATGTTACCAATACTCAATTAAAGTTAAGCAGGTACTAGTTCCCTCTCCAATATATATTTATATTACTGAAAAACTCCTGCTTCAAACAGCTATATTTATTAAAGTTCCTCGCTGAATACTTTTATAGGATTACGCTTGAACACATCATCACAATGGTATAATTTACCCCAACCAATACCACATTTTCTGAATATAGCTTGAGAGATGGAAAACTCTTACCGAAAAATTATATTTAATCCCATTAGGCTGGGCACCTTATTTGAAGGCCTTTTAGTTTACCTTGAAGAGGTTTGAGAGGAGCCAATGTTGCCTCTTCAGCAAAGCCAAAAATGTGGTTTCCCCTGTGTTTTCCTGTCTCTTCCTCTCTGCTGTTTTGAAGGTTAGCAGCTGTTGCTGTCTACTTGCCTTACAAACTGGCATATATCCAAATTGCTTAGAGGCCTAAAAGTTTTAACAAACCTGTTAGCTCCAAAATACACCCGTACATCACTCAGCCGGATGGCGCTTGGATGCAAATGTGCGTAGTGGCTTGAAACTCACTTTGCTAGCTGGGGATCTCTGCACTTAAATTACCGATAACATGAGCAATATGGTGAAGCAGATGGGCCAAGGAAAGAAAAGTGGGCTTTTCCTTACCTGCTTTTGGAGAATACAAACAATAGAGAGCAACATGTGAAAGACAACTTTGTCCTGTAGCCAAAGCGCTGACATTGAATCATGCAACAGCTTTTTTTTTTTACTGCAACAATGTTCTGTCACCATTCCCTGTTTGCTTAAATATTCATTGTCTTGGTGACAAAGGGACCAGTTCTGATTAAAAGGTCCAAAGTGCATTGGTCCACCCGTGGATCACCCGTGTGTTGTCGTCATGTTTGCACCGGGTGTAGTGATGTCCTTAAGTTGTCTTTACTAACCACGACTAACCCACACAGAGATGGACACTCCTAAGATCACGGCCCATGAAGAAACCGATTCCAGCTTCAGGGTGTCCTGGGATCACATCCTGGCAGAAATCGATAGCTACGTCCTTGCCTACAGCTCTTCTGAGGGCTCAAGCGAGGAAATCAAAGTTGGGTCCGACACTACTTCCTACATGCTGAGTGGCCTGAGGCCTGGTGTCCTCTACACTGTCTACCTTTGGGCCATCAAGGGGAGCAGAGCCAGCCGGAAGAGCTCAACCCAAGCGGAGACAGGTTTCAGATCTTAACACTTTCTGGTCAAATCCAAAGCCTTCATTATCTGACAAGCTTCAGCCAAAACGTGCGACGAAAAACATAACTTTCCCCAATGATTTACCCGACATCTGTTTTTTCTGATAAAATCCATATCAGAAATAAATGAACCCACAAAACTTCAGTCAATCGTATGACCAGGTTATACATATATTGTTATTTGGTCTGCAGTTTGCATCACTAGTGTCTCAATATCTTCTATTTCTAGCACTGGATGCTCCCGCTAACCTCTCGGCCCGAGATGAATCAGAGTCCAGCTTCAGCGTGTCATGGGATCCAGCCCATGCTGAGATAGACGGCTACGTCCTGACCTACGGCTCCTCAGAGGGGTACAGTGGGGAGACACCAGTGGGGCCTGAAAAAACCTCCTACACGCTGACCAGCTTGAGGCCTGGAGCTTTCTACACTGTCCACATCTGGGCCGTTAAAGGAAACAAAGCCAGCAAGAAGATCTCGACACAAGCGCAGACAGGTTTCTACCATTTTCCGCTAAACTCCAAACATTTTTAGCCACCCCTCATTTGAAATCCTAATACGTCATACCTTTTACAGTTAGTCCCGTTTCTTGTAAAGGAAAAAGCGCCACTCACACGGTGGACTCATCAGCACTTTTGATTTTAGAAGTTTCTTCGAATCTCCATATCTGTCAAATCTTCACCCATATGGCAAACTTCTCCATGTGCTTGTCACGGAGGTCAAAGCCGCCCAGACATCCATTTTCCCCAATAACGCTCCAGCTCAGAGGTGTAATCCCTCGGCTTGCCCTGCATCGACCCTGCCCTCTCCCCTCAGCCACTCATGCACGGAGCATAAGAAGGCGCTCGGGGCAAATTCTTTCCAGGAGACCATAACGAGTCGCTGCTGCTCTGGAGGAGACTCTTCCCTCTGTTGTGCAGACATTTAGCCCACATGTTTGGGAAGAGCTCATCTCGGCCTCCTTTATCCGATTATAGGATCATTTTAGTTGAACGTGCTGTACAACCCAACGTTGTTGACCCACAGATGAAGGATGTGTGGAAGAAGTTGGCTTGTCAGTCTCCTCCCTGGGGGATGCAGGTTCGCCAGGTTCTCTCCTCCAGGGAAAAGCAGGATAGATTTAACATCATGCTCTTCCTCTCGCTCAGTACTCCCACTGTGCTCAGTGCACAACATCTGCCAAACAGGTATTGCCCCCGACTCGGTTCTTCCCTTAACGGAGGCTGTCTTGGCCCTGAAGTTGTCTTCAATGGGCAGAAGCTTAGCTACAGTTCTGATGAGAGATCGAGCACAGAGGCCTCTGGGATCCCACCACGGTTACCACAAGCGTACCGCATGTCAGCATCTCGGCAGTGAGTTCAGACCAAGTTATTGGGAAGATTTTAACAAATATTGCATCTGATACTTAAAATCAGCAGAGAGATCTGAATAAAGGTTCACAGTTTAATACACTACGGTGTTATAAAGCACTCTTGAAATGGAAATTTGTCATTTTAAACAGTCCCCTAAATCTATTATATTATATTTAGTTCTGGATTGAGTGTCCAGAAGCACCACCACTGTGACGTATTTTGTATTATTAGTTAATACAGAAGCAGTAACAGGAGTTGTGTGAAGATGGGGGAAAAGTGTATCATTTTAGAATAAGAGGAAATGAACTATTGTGGTTTCACTCCTCTAGAGCTAATAAGAAATCTCTTGATTTGAATTAATGCTGAATTAGTTTTCAGATTTTCTGCAGTTGTAGGTATATTGTAAGTATTTCATTTTGTATGAATGGAGAAAACTGCAGTCAGGAAACACACGCATGCTGTATTGTCGGGACAGACAGTTACTTGTAGCGCATCATGTGTGAGACCTGTCGGAATTTTTAGAAAACCAGTAACTTCTGCCTTTTAATACTACATCAATGAAGTCAACACAACTGCTGATTAAAACTCATTTAACTTTAGTAATCATTTGATGATAATAGGACTTTTGATTAACCGAAATCCTTTAATTATTTCGCCTTCTGACCTGTGATTTATTCAACTGTCCGAGTCAAAATCAGTTTGATCTAAATGAAGGAAATGCATCCCGCAGACCTTGCCTGGCCAGTGAGTCTGTCCGGTGACTTTGTACAGCAGCGGCAGCACCTGGTGAACAGGTTAAAAGGGGGGCTTCTTTGTGTGAGCCAGATGATGTGTAAAATCACCTGGGAGCTCGAAGTGAAAGCTGGATCCTTTTCAATTAGGCAGAAAATGGTGGTGTTTTGTATTATAAACTTGTCGTAGCTCATTAGAAACCGCCTTTGGCTACGGACCAACGCTGCTGGGTTCAGATAGGAAAGACCATTGTGTCGGACACTGTCATCTGGGACAAATAAAACCCTGTGTTATTACATTTGGGACTTTATTGGACCTGGTAACAAGCACCATTAATGTGCCTGTTAAAACAAACAGACACCAGTGTGGTTCACAGGCCGTTTAAGCATTCCTGTTCCCACTGTTGATACTACAAAATTCAGGACTTTTCCCCCATTACAATTAATTACTAGAAAAACCGTCTTGGTAAAAATGAGAATGCGATGAATCCTGCTGGATCTTAGATGATGCATACGTGTTTTGACTTGATGATTGCTTGAGCAGATTTTGTACGTCGTGGTGACATGCGCTTCCTCTGATCCGTGCACCGCTGGGGGGGTTAAAGGTCCCACTGTTGCGGCGGGCCTCTTTGTGTCAGACAGATGTGCGTTTCTGTTCAGACCTCCAAAGCAAAGCAGATGAGTGACTGCCAGCTGATCTGCACACTTTGCAGGTGGCTGGTAGTCAGCTCTGGTGTGGTGCTTCAAGTGGAGAGATGCTGAGAAGCAAAGCGTTGGATACGTTAATGTTCCACTTATCTTTGAGGGCGAGAAAAGGAATAAGCAACTGCAATGGTATGTGTGATTTAGGAAACGGACACACTTTTAAGTGTGTGTCATATGCTTTTGTTTTTTGAAGCAAGAAATTATTCTGAAAATGATTCAAACTTCTTTAAGCGACTATTTTCATAAAAAATGTACCATTGTCTCCAGTTGTATTAAAGAAACCTGAGTTGTAAAGATGTCTAAATGAGCATATTCTCCGTGTTCCAGTGCTGTCATCCACTCTGATTTACACTCAACAGACATTGATTCTCCAAAGAAGCTGAAGGCGACAGATGTGACGCTTGAGTCTGCTTTTTTGACCTGGGTTCCTCCTCTTGCGGACATCGACGGCTATATTCTTACCTACAGAGATGAGGATGGAAACATGGAGGTACTTAGACATCCAAAATAAAATCTATTCATGTGTGTGACAACCAAGGTCTTTTTCCCATTATTATAGATGACAAATATCCAAACCTATCGCATTTAATTAGATTAGATTAGATTCAACTTTATTGTCATTGCACAGGGTACAAGTACTGAGGCAACGAAATGCAGTTTAACATCCAACCAAGTGCAAAATCGCAAAAAGTGCAGAGGATGTGCATATGTAAAGTGTAATAAGTGAATAAATAGATATGTACAGTAAGAAATAGTTTTGCAATAATTTCAAAGAAAGCTCCATCATGAACAACTGAATTTGACTTTTATTTTTTATTCTGTTTCGGGATGAGAATAAGATTGCAGTTACGTTTAGCACCCTGTGGCCATCGGGGATCTGTGTTTGTCTCTTCAAGCATCAAAATGTCATTTGAAAAACGTTTTCTTTGCTGCTTGAAATGAATGAAAAGCAGAGGTGTTCTGTTAAATGCTGACCCCTGGTGGTCGAGATGAAAATGAAGCTACTTCTGTGCGACTGATCTCTTTAAGGATGTTATTCTAAGGAGTCAGGAGCCCACACAAAGCTTGTCTCTAATTGAAACTCAAAACCATGTCATCGCTACTTTATTATTTCATTTTTCAGATGGTTAAAAAGCAGCTTGGTGCCCACGAGAGCAGTTATGCGTTATCGGGCTTGGAGATGTCGAAGAGATACGTCGCTACCATCGTTGCCTACAAGGGAAACAAGAGGAGCAAGGTGGTGGAGACCACCTTCAGAACAGGTCCGTGCACCACTGTGAACTGAGTGACCACAGACGTCTCTGCCTGATGCTCTTTGCTCAGATTTCCTTTCTTTTTCATGGTTCCATGATGTCAGTTTAAGTGACAGCTCATTCTGCGCTGTAACATCACATCATGACTATCAAACAAATGTCCATAATGCAGTTACACCTCTTCCCTAGTTGGCATCCTGTACCCTTTCCCCATGGACTGCACTCAGATCATGAAGAACGGCAATAAGAAGAGCGGCATTTACACCGTTTATATTAACAATGACGACTCCCAACCCATCGAAGCTTATTGTGACATGGAGACGGATGGAGGCGGCTGGCTGGTATGAATCACGGATGACACTGCACATATCTTGTTTATGGAATAAGCCTGTTTTTGTAATATGATTGTGTTTACGGTCATTTCTAGTATGCTGCAGTAAGAATTTATAGCAGTTAATTTAAAAATATAAATAAGTTGTACAGTGTCTTTTGACCATTCTTTTTAAATCCCCTATGTCCCCCAGCTAGACAATCCAGTTAACGACAGTAGTTGACACTTGAATCGTGTTGGTGAAGATGGAAACCACAGATAAAAAAAATATGTGTCAAACAGCCGTCATTAAACATGCTGTCCTTGCGGCTTCAGGTGCTCCAACGACGTCATTCTGGCAAACTGGACTTTATGAAGCGCTGGAGACAGTACATAGCAGGGTTTGGCAACATGACAGATGAGTTCTGGATCGGTGAGCACTGATTCTCTGCGGACTTTGACACACGCACACATGGACAGTAATGCACTGTTTCTTCTTGCTTTCACGCTCTCTGTCTGGCTGCTCCCTCAGGTCTGGATAAGATATATAAGCTCACCAACACTTCCACTCAGTACGAGCTGAGGTTTGACCTGGGCCTCGGTGCCGAGAGAGCCTACGCCGTGTACGACAGCTTCAAGATTGCCCCGGTCAAGCAGAATTTCAGAATCACTATCGGCACGTACAGCGGAACAGCGGGTGAGAATATTTTCCAAACTGCTACAAATGCGTAGTCTACAAATGTATATACTCTCTGACACGTCAAATCATAGAGACGATAGCGGGTGAAATAATGCAAATGAGTCAGTGGGGTTTCAAGCAGCAGGGACATCGTCCATTAGCATGAGTTCTTAAAAAGCTAATAGAAAAGCAGTAGGTGGAGTTTTTGCTGGAGATTTGAAGGGAAGAAGAAGCCAGGTTTTTAGTGGGCTTTGAAGACGGACGCACAGCAAGTGGGACGTCGGGTACAAACATTACACGGTGTTCTCAGACAACGTACGGCGTGTCGCTCTATTTCTGGCTTTTTTGAATTGCTTCCCTCAGTGAGCGCTTGGAAGAAGAAAACTGTAGAGTTTCTAACATGTGAAGTTAGTGTTGATCGCGGTGATTCTGATCCCAGGCGATGCGATGACCTACCACCAAGACCAGGCCTGGACTACTGTCGATAAAGACAACGACGTCACCATGAGTAACTGCGCCCTGAACCACCACGGCGCCTGGTGGTACAAGAACTGTCACCTCGCCAACATCAACGGAAAGTGGGGCGACACCAGGCACAGCGTGGTGAGTGTCAGCCGACATCCTACCAAATGGTCGATGTGGATCCTCCAACGTTGGTTCAAAAAGAGTATTAAGAAGATCAGAAAGTTAATGATACAAAAAAAGGATTGCTGGCAGAGTGGTTTTCCCAGAACTCACAGGTGTTTGTGGTGACATGCACAAAATTAACTTTAAGTGAATTAAATAATAATGTCAGCGGTAATACTCCAAACACAGAGGCCCTGGTTTCACATCAAGGACACATGTTCAGACGGTGGATTCAACACAGTTAAAAGAAGACTAACACTCACACCTCAAAGGGCATCAAAACTCAAACCTTTAAACACGATTCATCCTGATGAAATAGTATTGAGAAAGTCATGAATAAGTAAACTCTCTACACGCACGCACTCCAGGGCTTAAAGAGGAACTGGCCGTGTTCTGTGTGAGATACTTACACTAACTTATAAAGATTATGCTGTCGACTGTCAAACATCTTCCCTCCATCTTTGCCGGCGAATGATATCATTCTTCAATCTGCCAAATTTGAAACTGCTTCATTAAGTCAAGCAATTCTGTGGACTTTTGTCAGTGAATAAGTACATCTCATAACGGATATGTTCTCTCTGAGTCCCTCTCAGCTGAAAATGTCAATGTGGAAAATCCCATTTTAATTGAGTGTTCTGGATTAATTCAGCAGTCGCTGTTTTCTTCACTTTATTTTTTGTCGTTGGGCCAAAACGCAGTTAGTTGTAAGACTGCCCTTCACAACAAGCTGCTTCTCCCGTCCTCAATGTTCTAGTGCATAAGTGATGCACAACAAAAAACAACCAACCGTCATGTTATTTAGGCTTCTTTTAACACACGCTGCTAAAAGACCCCCCAAAAAGAAGCCTGCGAACTGGTCAGCAATCAAAGAAAACCCACTCTTATAAGTTTTTTACTTTTTTTTTGTTGAATTGTCGAGATGAGGCAGAAATGGCCTCAATCCATCAGCACTGAAAAGAAAACCCATTTCTCACAGCAGCTATGAAGCGCAAGTGTTTTTGCCAGGCTGATAGGGTAACAGCAACAGTTATTATGTCTGAGGGAGTCTGATACTGAAGAAAATGCCAGGAGATTCCTTTGCTCTTCGTCGCAATTTCTTCCATAATATTGCCGCTGCAGATGTCTGCCGCAATGTTTGTCGGCAGAATGCAATAACACTCAAAACAAGTTTGTGCTAACATGAAATGAAGCCGCAGGCTGGGGTTTATTAGGCTTTGTCATCCTGTCATTGCCGCCGGCCTTTCTTTTCTTTGAATCCGTCTCGCATCTCTTTTCTTGTCTCCCTCATTTGCCCACATCCCCCCCCTCTAACCATCCGTTGGGTTTCTCTCTCTTTCTCTCTCGCCTAATCGGCTTTCCTGCCGTCAGGGAGTGAATTGGAAACCGTGGAAGGGCCACCTGGTGTCCCTGGACTTCACCGAGATGAAGATCCGAGCCGTGGGAGCCCGGTCCGGCAGGAGGAGCCGATCGCTGGCGGACAGAAAGAAGAGCAGGGCCGCGAAATGAGAGAGCGCCTCCCACTTCGACCCCACCAGTCGTCACCACTCCCGCTCACCTGCCATCGGCGGCCTTCGTGTTCCCTCAAGTCTTGGACAATGTGTACACTTGTTTTGGTGGGGGAGAGACAGAATAGCAGATATACAATAGTAACTTATTATCTGTTGGTAAACAGTGAGATTAATCAGAAACTCCTTGTGGTTCCGGCGAAGCGGCAAATAGAAAAAAATGCCTTTGAGTTATCTTGAAGTGGAGTTTAGCCTTATCAGTTATAATGCAATAATTATTCTTAAATACTTCTGTTTCACTGATTCCAATAGTAACACGCTTTATAAATCAATAGATTCACTTCGATTTGTGTGCATGGAATGAAAGTTTTCCTCCCTTACTTCCTTTTCACACCTCAGGGCAGAGCCTAGGGTCTTTTTTTAATTATATTTGTGACTTTATTTTCAGGTCAAGTGTGAGGACTTAGTTTGTTACGGCCCTGAGTTTATTGACTACGAAGCTGGCTGCCTGCGTCACATTCGGTCGCCGCTGTCACATCACATTAGTTTGCGCGGGACGAGCCAGAGAATAATAACGGACGTCTGTCTGAATGACCATGTTGCTCCTGCTTTACATTTATAAGATATTGACAACAGATATCAATCAATGTGACGTGGCTGCATCAAGCGCCAACAAGGATCAAGTGCGTTTGCGCTTAATGAACAAACCCTCGTTTTCAATTTGGAAAGCAGACGATTGTTATTAATTCTGCGTTGACTTTGACTTTATGACGTCATGACATTTTTATACATTTATTAAAAACTGTTGTTTTATGAGACAAGGATGGAGCACATCAATCAAACCGCTGCTTCGATTTTGCATTCAATAAAATGTCTTCATAAACCTTCGTGGCTCATGGGAAACTAAGGAATATAAAAACCTATACATGAAATTATTTTGTTTTACTAATTATATAGTTACGTTATAGCTGCCCATTTATATTTGTACCACACATTCACGCAAAGGCTAAATAAATAAAGGTTTTGTTACATGGACATATTGTGATTCTTTATAGCACTAAGGGATACAGATTGAGCAAATAGAAGTGAGAAGCATTTCTTTTTGCAGAAGTGGCAGATGAACTACTGCCATGTGACAGGGTTTATATAAACTACTACTGTATCACTGTACTTATCCATCTTGAGATAACACAAGTATTCTACAGACATGCTGGCTGCTATTTTTATCTTGATAGTGGCAAAAAGAGATGAGGAATGTGCAGTTATTTGAGGTATTGTGGGGGAAAAGCACACCAACATTTCATTGCAATCCATCCAATAGTCGTGGGGACATTTGAAAAAAAGAAGTCCACTACCTGGTAATACTAGAGGAAGAAGAAGGAAGAAGAAAACTGGTCATCAAAATCATTGGTATTGAATGAATGTTGACAAAAGGAGCATTTAAGTTAATGACGAACATTATGACACCACCATGAGGTTAATTTGTGTTACTTGCATCACTCGTTAGACCAAATCAACTCAGTTGCTTCTTTCTGTTATTTTTTATAACATCGTGGTGTTCATCCTCACATGGAATCTGCTCTGTGAGAATTTACATTATTAATGATTTATGAATCATGGAAAGTAAATAAGGTTTTTACCACAACGCAACGCTTTCATCATATTGAATTGAGCAGCTGTACTTTCATGGGCTGAGAACTGTCCGCCGTCTGGTCTCAACAACAGTTTCTCAAATCTGTGCACTTGGTCAGCTCACTGGCTGCAGGAGAAGCATTTTTACACAGCGGCTTAAAAAAAGTCTCATATTCACAACACATTCCACAATTCAAACACACACAAAATATATAAGTTATAAGATGTGATCTATTCAAACAAACACTGCAGTAATTCAAAGGCCAGAGGAAGAAGTAAATGTTTCTGAGGGTTTATTTGTCTAAATTAAATGGCAGTGTGAAAAGGCTCGGCTGAAAACTTGGCAACAATTATTTTATTATTATTTGAAATGAAACGTCTTACAAAAAGCTCATTGATGCAAAAGGCCTTTTCAGCCACGGTGATTGCAAACTACCATATAAGGAGATTGGTTCCTGCCATTGCTCTGCGAGGTTTGCTTGGCGGCAGCATAAACAGAGAAGAAGAAAGAGCCTCTTTCTTTCCTTCCCCGTCTACTCAGGACTCGACACCCGTTTGTCTGCCCGTGTGACTTCAGTAAGACCTACACCTTGGGTCCAGTGGGAGGGCTTTTTCCATACGAGAACTTGGTGATGTTGAAACAAGGGAGTGTTTGTTGTAAGGTGGGAGGAGGGGGGGTGAGGGGTGAGGGGTGAGCTGTTAATGGAAAGACAGAAGCACGGACCAGATAGACGAGACGCACAGACGGAGAGAGGAGAATTTGAGGCTCTGTTTTTCAAAAAGTAAATGACAACACGACGAATAAAGAGACGCCAAAGGCTACTTTATAGTGAGATTCTTTTTAACCTGGATTTCTTTTCATTATGGCAGAAAATAAGCGACTAAACACAACGCAACAATAAGTCTCACTAGCCATTCCGGTTATTCATGTAGCTTCTCGTTGCAGCCATATTTTACATTGTTGCAGTGTTGGGAGTAATTCCACTACTTTTAGCGGTAACGAAGTATTTTGTTTTTATAAATTAACGCAGTTACAATTACTGAAATTGAAATGAGTTCGTTACTCTCTTTTGTGACGCGAAGCAGAGGGCCGGCAAATAGTAAGTAAATAGCTGCCTGTCAGCACAAAATAGTTGCGGCCACCAAACGTTGTGTGTCACAGACTAGTCGCCGTGCGTGCACGTAAACAGCATCGCTCATGACAATAGAGCGCAGGATGCTGCATGTTGTGGCTTTATGCTACATGTATGATCACTGTCACAGTCGTATCCTATACGTGGGTTATCTAAATCGATACAAATGCACGGAGACGAGGACGCAGTACAAGTTAGGTCATTTACTGGCGCGCAAATCACACAACCGGCAGGCATGAACAGTCAATCACAGAACTCCGTCGTAGTGACAGTCAAACACAATCGAGCACTGAGTGCTCGATCCAATGTGCCACACTGCTGGCGCCGCTCCACGCAAACAACCAGGGCTCCATTTTACAGGCAAATGCCTCAAACTGTTATTTTGTATTAAGTTAAGTATTAAAAAGGACTTTTGTACTATTGCTTGATTTTCAGGCCTGTTGCCCTGTTGATTACAATAAATAGGTCTAAAAAATATGTTTGTTGTGTTTGACTGTTCAGTACTATTTATATTCATTACATTTAAAAAGCAGACAAAAAAATTACTTAAAAGTTACTTTCCAGAGAAACTAATTACTTTTGATACACGGTAACTGGTAAGTAATTCAATTACCTTTAAAAGAAGTAACTAGTAACTGTAACTGAATACTCATTTTCAGTAACTTGCCCAACACTGATTGTAGATGAAAAAAACGGTAAAAGCTCTGAAGCTTTTGTTGATCAGAAACCTTGAATCCAAACAAAAACTAGACTAAACAAAAAGACACATGACTCTGAGAGGAGGGAACTGGAAGAACTGGTGAACACTCCATTTCCCCCAACGGCCACTGACAGTGAAATCAAGTCATTAAAAAGACTTTCGTTGCTTCGTTCTCCATTGCTTTACCAATATACGCACACTGTTATTTCAGTACACTGTTCTATAAGCCCAGTCTTTTCCTCCCTGCGTAGAACATCTTCACGCAGCCTTAGAAGACACGTTTTAGGTTTGGGATTGTGTCGGGGGGAGAATTTGTGCGTAGCGTTGTGGCTTTTTACTTAAATTATTCTCTCACAGCAAATTGATCGACGGCCGGCGGAGCGTCGTGGTTTAAGCGACATGCGACATCTTCTCATGCTCAGTCACAGATGTGCCAACGGGGGTACCAGCAGATGTCATCTGGGTTGAGTACTCGACAATATTGGGGAACCACTTAACCGAACGTGTTAAATACGCTGGCAACACACTGATTGTTGTGTTGAGCCCGTCACACCTAATTGGCGAAGCACATCAGTGATGAAGAACGATTTGTCAGGGAGTTGGATACAACAGAGAAACGATGGCAGGTCGGGAAATATTGTTTTCATACTGCAGGTATTAAAGAAAGTAACTAACGTGCTGTTAAGCTATACTTACACAAATATGCCTCGCAGGTCGAGAGTGAGGAGCCATGAGATGCATCACATCTGAGCATAAGTGCTCCTCAAGCCAAACTGATTACTTGCTTCAAAGGTTCCTCCGCTAAGGCCATCGGAGATATGATTAAAACGACATGTTTGTGGAGATCACCAGAGGCAGAAGTGCATTAATTAATTGCATTGCCTCTGCAGCTTTCGGTTTTGTTTATTTCCACGGTTTATAACATAAGACATCTTACTCCCTAGCTTTTATCTTCTCATTTCCATAATTTGCTGTAGTAAAAGTGGCGTAAAAGGGACTATTTTAGGCAGATGTCATGCTGTATGTGGATGTGCTACAAAGAAATACAGCTCTTTGTTGTTGCTGCCCCCTTTGTCCCCTTCAAATTTAGACAGTCGATCACATTTTAGTGTTAAAAGTCGGCAAAAATGACCAAGAGCTTTGTTCCTGTATGCTCAAAATTAATTGTGCTGTATTGGGTGGAAACAGCATTTTTGTGAGCACGTTATGTTGTGTCTTAGCAGCCAACCATGAATGAACAGACCTGTGTAATACAGTACATGACATGTTCACACACAAAGATAATTACTCTGTCAAAACTAAAAAAACTCACCAACCAGAAACAGAAAGATGAGATTCCACAAAAATAAAAAAATGACTGAATTTATCTCCCTGTCATTTCCCCAATCGTACCTGTCCTCTATCCGTAGCTTCTTTGTATCGTTAACTCTAAGACGGCCTGTCACGGTCTGTAGCAATGAATAGAATCTCCATAAACAAAATGTGAACCACAGTGACGCGATCAGTCGACCTCTGATGTCTATGATGTCATTTCTCCAGACAGCAGCTTACCAGGGCTTTTATTTTGCAGGGCAAGCTTTCCAATCAATCTCAACAAATACTGTTTCACTCTCTGAACATCAAGCGCGAGGGGGAGGGAGAGGGAGAGGGAGGGAGAGCAACTCCCTTTTCCACACGGGGATGTTTGTGTCTGAGCTGTAATGAAATGAGTTGGCGCCGGTTTTCCCAGCAGCGCCTTGAGAGCAAGAACATCAACTTAGTGTCAGTGTGCGCTATTGCCTGAACACGATGATGCTGCTGAGACGCTGCTGCTTAATTGGGCTTTGAGATGTCATACACTTCAAAAAGAATATCACCCATCAGGCGAAATTCACTTGAAGCCCAAATTATTTCAGGAATTTCTCGTTCCTTAATTCAAATATGTGTTGTGTAATGTTAGAAATAGCTATTATTTTGGCAGTAGATTTTTTTTTAGGTATATTCACATATTTTAACAGTTTGAATTTTTCAAATTCATCTAATTAGATGCAGCTAAATGTACAGACATGATTGATCTAAACACATCTGGGCCAGTGCTGTTCAAACATTTAAGAATTAAAAAATCTTTAGGGACAATTTCAGAAATAAAGTCATGTGGTCACGTGCTCCATGATATGATATACAGTATATATAGTTTAATCCTAAATAAATCTACCAACAATTTACATGTGAAATTAACAACTCAACAAAAATATATATTTACATACAGTGATGAAATAATAGGAAATGTCCATCAGAACATTTAGGATCACACTGAAAAAGCATGCGTTTTTTTGCTTTCACTATTGTTTAATGGTAATGTTAGTAGCAAATTGTTGTATTATGTATAATCCTTACATAGTAAGAGCCCCTAAAACATTATGGCCTATGGTTGTTGTCTCAGTGCATTAAATATCTGCCAATTTGAGTTTTACTTTTGTGTTTTTCTTGTTACACTGTGTCTTGTGCATTTAAAGCGTGTTTGACCTGAAACCTGTGACATTTAAAAAAAAAAAACAGTAAAACTTTCCCTCATATGGCTTAAACTCCATCATATCACGTATGAATTTAGGAAGTTTTAAAAAAAAATCAGTCTCTTCAAAACTTGTTCAGCATCATTAGCTTTTTAGAGGAGAGACTCTTGGATGGGAAAGCAGGCAGTATTACAGCCCTCTGAACGCCGGGCTCACCTTAAATAGTCTCTCTCTCTCTCAAGTACAGACACAGTGAATTTCACATGGGAGCACTAAGAACAAATGGCCTCTCAATAACACTGTACTTCTCCCTCACACACACTCTTTGTCTCTAACCTACTCACACACACACACACACACACACACACACACACACACACTCTCGCAGGTACGTCTATGCCTCCGCATATTTCTTCTTTTATGTACCAGACACTTAAAAGCAAAAACAAAACGTTGTAAACATTCTCCAGCATTATGAACACACCATGACAACAATCTGTACACTGCTTCCACATTTCAGCTAAAAATGTGAGGTCCTTCGGTTGGTTTTAACAATGTCCTTTGAGTCCAGGCTACATTGAGCTTCAAACGTCGGCGATGCTCCATCACTGCACCACTGCGCCAACCGGGACCAGAAATAGTACGAAAAAAAGGGAATTCCTACACCAATGGCAGGGCGACCATGTCAGGGGTCATCGGCCCATTCTTGACAGAGATCCACAAATCCTCGGCAGAATTCTTTCTCTTCTTCGTTTCTGACCGCGTGGTTGCCATGGCGCCTTTGCAGCAGCAGCAGCAGCAGCAGCAGCTGTTGGCTTGGCGACAGCAGCAGCAGTGGCAGCACACCACCAAAGTAGTGAGGAGGACGAGTAGGGGAAGAGTTAAGAGGAGCACAAGGCAGACGGTGTTGTACACCCCCTGGTTGTGTTTTTCTGTCGCAAAGCCCCAAAGTAGTTGGAAGAAATCCTGGATGCTGTCCGTTCCCCCACCCATGGCTTTGCGATATGGAGCGCCGACTCCTTTTAATTGAAGTGAAAGTAAGTCCTTTACACGGCTGTGAAGTCTGCAATTCAGTAAATGTGCCGACTCGACAGCAGGATATACATCTGCTAATTAAGATTCTGCCTTCAGATCTCAACTTATGAATAATGACGTTTTATTCTCGACAAAACCTCACCGACCCAAGATCTGTCACTGCAGATATTTCTGGCGACGTGAGGTTGAACTTTTGCGTGCTTCTCTTTTCCTCTTCGAGCGATCAGAGTCTGTGGCGCTGTGTGATGAGGCCGGCGTGTGCACCCAGGCTTGTGTTGTTTATGTTAAATGGAAACACTGGAAGCACGCGGGGTGACTTCACGTGAGCCTCCCTGCTTGCTGCTTACAAAGCCAACGCATTATTCAAACAAATACCGAGCGATTCATTCGTTACGACAGGATTTTCTTTGAAATCGTCCAGTCGTGGTGGTCTTGATGCTGGGTGAAAAAGACAAAATCCTCAAAGTTTTGGGAATAACTTTGACAGTTTTCTTTCTCTTTGTCTTCTGGAGTCTTTCTCTTGTCTTCTCGCCCTTTTGCTTTTTGCTTAATTTAGCAGAGACGTGGTTGAATAATGCGTCCGTCTGTGGAAGAAAAGAAAGAGAAACGTAAACAAGGACAAAGATTTGGTTTCCAGAAGCAGCTCCGCCTCCGTCTCCCTTTCTTCTCCCTGTGGTTGTGTCCCCGACCTTAAATGTCTCCCCTCCTGCTCTCCCCATCATATCAGCGTCAGCTTCAGCTTTTCGTCTTTCCCTCCATTAATACTGCAGAAGAGGACTTCAGCACAGAGGGCAGATCGCTCTTAAAATCCCACAGAGAAAGACAGAGGGCAAAAGGAAGGAGGAGGAGGTAGATTGTGTCTGAGGGAGGACAGGACGAGCGGTAACCAATCTTTCTTAGAGTCCCGCTGAGACGGAGAGCGTCGGTGAAACTAAGAGAAGGGAGAGAGGTTTGATGCGGAGGGACCTGCTGCTGGAGATTCATCTGAATAGACCCGACTAATGGCTCCCATTGGAGGAGGTCTGGCCCACACCTTCATGAATGTAACATTTTCATTCTGGCCTCGGATTAAGTCTCCTCCTAATAGCTCTCCTGGAGGACGAACCACGGGGCAGCGCTTCAAGTGGTGGAGCAGTCTCAGAAAGAAATACGCTTCTCTTTTCTCTCTGAGACCGTCCCGCTGTCTGAGGCCTTCAGGCAACGTATTTCTTTAAACAGTTAGAGAACTTTTTTTAGTTTTTTTCAAACGATTTCAGACGCCACTTGACGGAAGTACGTCGGATTCCCTGCAGCCATCGGCCGCTGAGCTTCTTTGTATTCTAGATGCAGGAGGGAGGAAAGATTTTCATCTCACATTTGGCCGCTTCCCCGGCAGAGAAAGAGAGAAAGAGCGAGAGATGCACCTGCACGTTGATCGATTTGGCGTGACGGTCGCCGTGCGATGCGTCTCATGTGTTCAATTGCTTCACCCGCACACTTCCTGTTAACTTCCCTCCTGTTCATTTGCTCAACAGGAAGCCGAGTTCTCACAGCTCGGTGGACAAGAGTCCAGCGAGACAAATGTCACAGATAAATCTCCTATTTTGAAGCTGCACTTGCTGCAATGTGTATGTCAGTTTTCTTCGAACCCATTTTGTTTGCTGCCTTTTACATGCAAAGCAACCCTGAGAGGTCATAAGATGAAGAAGACGATCAGAAAGCGGATAATCATGTTTTCCTACACACTCACTGTATACTGATATGTATTGTTTTACATCTCGTACGCAAGTAACCAACATACTTGTGGTTTCATATGAACAGGAAATGACGCCGAACCTGCAACTTCAAAATTGCAAAGTGGTTGAATGTTTTACTGGAGCGTTGCAGATAAGCATCTCCTCCATGCGAGAAGTCGATTTACTCGTTACTCGTTGACTCTTCTCAGAAAATCGTCAGAAACGTGTGATGAGTGACCCAAGTCAACAAATTAGCTAGTAAAAGAAAGTTTCGAAAAATGTAAATAATCACCGGTATCCCCGTATTCCACAAGAAGTCAATACCTTTTCTCCCACGGATGAGTCGCGGAGGTCAACGTGTCTATAAACTCCACTGAGGTCTCGGCCACGTCGATACACGTTGTCGTGATTTTGCGGGGATGAGCAGAAGAACCGTTGACGGAAGCTGCGAGGTGTGATGCAGCAATAGAAAAGGTGACTAACGAGGCGTCAGAGGTGAGGCCATTGTGTGGAATCCACCGGTCACCATGTGGTGCGATAAATACAGCCAAGGGCAGGTTTGAAGATTGTTCTGGGGTTCGTTTAAAACGATCTTACGTTTAATGTTATAATATAATTATTAGCTGAAATACAAAGAAAGCAAAAAGAATAAAAAGAATAATTAATAAATATAAATAAATAATTAATGATAAATAAAAATGTTTAATGGAATAAAATAAAATATTTGGCTGCTCGGGCAGTTTAACACTGACGTGTTCAAACTTCAAACTGACCTCATGTATTACATCTCTTTCTCGGCAGGCTATTTTTAGTAGTGTGAGAAGAACAGAGGGTTTCTACAATAAACATGCAGATGTGAGCAGCAGTTTAGTTTGTGGTTTAGCATTTCGATGGACAAACGTGTATCGAAAAAACACATTTCTCTCATTTCATCTCAATGACATTCCATTCTAAGATTCTGCTCAGGTATTTGACTTTCTCCTGAGCCATTCATATACAGGAAAACGGCCACTTCTGGGTCACACAAAGCCAGGAAGGGGCTGAGAATACTGTTCTGATTGCACTCAGTTAGGCCCCTGCTGCTTCTTTGTGAACATGTGCGACCTAAAAGACTAAATTGTGACAGAAGGCAATGCGGGAATCTTTAATGAATCGCCCCGAGCACACAGTCAGAGCAGATCCGTCACCAGTCTGTATTAATACCGCACTTGGACGCCTTCGGTTTGACTTGGGTCAGTCACCTGCCAACTGTTAAAGCCGTGCTGTGTTTTCGCAGAAAACATCAGCTATCTAGTGCAGCTGTCTTGCTCGAGTAGCTTCAGGCCTGCTGACAGTCAGTTCTCCACAGCCAGCAAGTGTGCAAGCCCATGGCGGTTCAGACTTGTGTGAAAAGTTGAGGACATTCTTACAGTAAATAGCAGGGGGAGGAAACCAAAACCAGCTAAACGTTTGAGTTAAAAAAAAAAGACTTGAGGGGAATGATTGATGGAGCGAATGTAGAGATGCAGAAACGTTTATGTAGCGAAATTTGAATCGATGATTTGTTTTAAAAATAAAATGCGAACATGATGTTGTGGTGACACTATGCAGCCCTCAAATGCGGGAGAAAATACATCAGCTTATCTTCAGAACTTGTCAAGCATCCTGTCGAATCTAACTACTGCCAAAAAAAAACACTTTTTCATTACGAGACAGCCACAGCAGCAACATTTTCACCTCTGTTTTTCCACTGGTCAAACAACAAAAAAGCGTCCACAGCTCATACAAACCACTGTAACAGTCTCAAACGATTTCAAGCTGCTGCCACTCGAGATGTCTTTGAAAGTGGCAACTTACCCCACAGGCACATGTGAAGTGGCAGGTCAGCTCGCCCCTCTCGTCTAATCCAGTGAGCTGCTCAAACTTCTGTTTTGGCATCTGGCTTCTGCTCCTTTCTTTTCATTTCTGGTCCCCTCACCCAGACATCTTGACATGTCTTCTACTTTCTGTTCCTGTTTCCCTCTCTGAGCTTGTTTCCCCTCCTCCTCCTCCTCCTCCTCCTCCTCCTCCTCCGTGAGTGTGTGTGTTTTGGTCACAACGTCACTGCACCCTGCCCACTTTGTGTAAGAATGGGCCCTCTGTCTTTGCTTATGTGCTTCCTGCATGGGAAACTGGATTCTTGCGGTCGCTTTACTGGGTTACTCACACGAGCAGCGAATGATGTCAGACGGCGAGGGATATTTGGGGAGGCTGAACCCGAAATGGAAGCACGAGAAGCCTTTATAAAACGTGTCTCCAAACAAAGTCCCCATGTTAGGATAATAAAAGAAAGGCTGATCTGAAGTTGAAGGCAAAGCTGCACCAAACAACACAAAATTACAGCAACAAAAACCCCACCCAGCTCAGAGTCCCAGAATAGAGATTAAAAGGAGAAACGAAAGCTGTTAACGAGTGTGTGTGTGTGTGTGTGTGTGTGTGTGTGAGTACCAGGTGTACCAGAGATGTGAAAGAGTGAGGTGACGTGAACTGTTCACACACACACAGACACACACAGTTGCTGTGCCTGGTGGTCATTCAGCGCCCTTTTAGTTCACTCGAGCAAAAGAGGATTTTCTTTCAAGTAAGAAATAAAGAAAAAAAGTGTTCTGCTAACATTAAATAGCATGTCTATAAGTCTATTTACTCTCCTGTGTTGAAAGGGGGGGGGGGGGGTGCAGTGACTCGAATACTGTGGTCTACTCACAACGTCCGTATATTAAATTATAAAGTGGTTAATGTTGGCCTGCATATGAGCACGTCACACATTCCTTTTAATGTTTCATTTTCTCTCATGTTTCTTTCACATTTTTTCGGGGATATGACACGATTACTATTAGGAAATTAACGTTTCCTAAATCTATTTGTTACTCATCTACCGCAGCTACAATTTAGTCTCATTAAAATTGCTGAGACAAGTTCCACCATGTGTGCAGGTGTGTCTGAGCCATCTTAGCCAAACAGAAACCCCCCCCCCCGCCCCCGCCCACGGAGCGCGGAGGGCGCAGTCGGACCGGCGGGGCGTGTAGCGCCCTGTCGTGAAGTTATACCGCAGCCGCTGCTGAGGCGCTACGCTGTCCAGTCACCTCAAGCAACGTTTGATTAATGACCTCAGCGTAAGCAGCACATTCCTCCATGGGAATTTGTCTTTCCAGGAGTTTATATTAAATTGGTGTCCCTATATATTACACCTGCTGCTTTTTTTTTTTATACACAACTGCACGTAGAAACGAATAGAATGTTGAGCCATTGGACCCTTATTTAGGGAAATAAATATTTGCGGTAGTCAATGGCAACCATCAAAAAAATGTGTCGATCCTGTTTAAAAGACAAAATCCTTTGCATTGCTCGTGAAAACACATATGTTCAGACAACGTTACGTTTGTGCATGTAACAAAGCTACGTTACCTAGCTAGCAAGCTAGCCATGCTAATGGCCTAGTTAAGTCAGGAGATGATGTTGACCGGGCGGCTTCAGCGGAGGCCGAGAAAAGCAGAGTCCCTCCCCTTCCATTTACAGCAGGGAGGAGAGAACCAGCAGAGCACCAGCGATAAATGGGATTCAACTCATCGATACCTGCAAGGATCATTCTAAAGGTTTTATCGAATTTCTACTGTGAGAAGATGTGAGCATTCATCTAAAAAAACAAAAAAACCTGTTGCATATTATGCAATGATGGGGCTTTTTAGGTCTGACTACATTTTGTTCTTTCGTTATAAGGACCCTATTATATTTCCCCTTTTCTGTAAGTATACCGTACGCTTAAATTACACAACAGTGACCCTCACATGCGTCCCATTTCCTCCATGGAAACCTGCGCTATAATGGGACCTCCATCTGGTTCATAGAAACCTTATTCTAAGTCGTGCTCGCCTATGAGGGGGAGCTTTAACAATACACCCCTTTCTCTGACTCGGGTCTGTAGCTGAACTAATTGCAGGAAAGGCCAGCGAGCTCACACTGGATCACTGATCATACAATCATCGTAGCAGAAAAGTGACTGTGACATTAGCAGTGGCATGAAAATAAGCCTTGTAGAATTAGTGGACTGTGCAAAAGGCCACTACAAATCACCACGACCTACTGGTTCTGCCAACACACACTGAAATACGAGTGTGTATGAAGCTAACATGGTGGCCTCAGTGACTTCTTGAATGTGAGCGCTAATGAAAAGTGACTAAAGGGTTGGTATGTATCGGAATCTGACAAGGGTCCAGAAATAGGCTGCTAATAAAAGCCGTTTCCCCTGCAGGCAAGCCTTGTGTGATTCAGCCCTGTGAAATGTTTGGGCCCAGCGCTGTCTAAACAGGCAGAAAGCAAGAACATAGCAATGATTAGTCTATATAAGGCATTGCTTCTTGCTCTCATTGAAGAGCTATCGGTTGGTGCGTAAACCTTTTTACAAAAGGCTTTTTACCAGAGCACTTAATTGCACATTCCTGCTATGAAGTCACTCTGAGCGATTTCCACAGCGAAGTACGTAATAATCTTGGCATAGTTCTCTTATGAAACATTCTGTGTTCTGGGGATAGATTCTACTTTAAATACGTCTTTGTTGGTTTGTGAACAACAGAACTTTGGTGTAGTGTGTTAAATGAATAAAGGCAACATCGGTATGCTCGCAGCAAGAAGGTATTTTTCCATGGTACTTAAATTTGAGTCAATGAGGAATTTTTAAATTCCTCTTTTTCGCCAGTACTTCCAAACTCAGAAGAAGCTGAAAGGGCCGCTGTGTGGGGGGGGGGAGTCACTCATGCTAGCCAGACTTTTTCAATTTGAGGGAACTAAATAGGAAACCGAAAAATGACTTAAACACTCCCAGAAAAGTCTAAAAAAACAAAACAAGGAAGTGCATCTTGGGTAATCCGTGGTCACGTACGGTCACCGTCTGCCTCGTAAGAGACATTTCTGGTGGTAGGAGACAGCAGTCTGTCTGTTAAAGATAATCACACACCAATTATTATGTAGCACGGATCTCCTTTAACACTCAACTGTCCGTTCCCTGTTTTAAATAATAATTCAGACTAAAACACAGTCTTGATTTAAATGTGTAGCTACAGGAACGAATATTATGGAAAAATATTGAAATCTTTTGCTTGCATTAATCACCTCACTGTGTCACAGTATTATTTTGGTGTTCAGTAGTCTCCCAGCTATATACTGTATATATATATATAACATGCTTATTTGCTTATTTTCGGCCTCCTACTTGTATTTTAGTTTTCACATGCTTTAATGTTTAATAAAATATTTTGTTTTTCTTATACTGTTGACTCAATGTCACCATTTTATTTCCCTCCTTGCGCTAAAGAATCACTGTGCACCATCGCAACGGTAGTTTCCGAGGCGTCGGTCGAGATTCTCAGGTGTATTCTGTTGAGTTACAATGTGACAGAACGAGGAATCACCTCTGAACGGTTTAATGAATCAAGCCTTTTCTGATACAGGCGGAAAACAGAAGTTGACTGGGTTGTGTTAGTTCACAAAGGGTCTGCACTCCACATTCTAAAATACATGTGCACTGAAAAGGGGAACATGTCTAATCTTTCCCCTGTTTGTATGGAAATAGTCATTTTCTTTTTCATTCACTGACAGACATTTTGAAACCTAAATTATGTGACCCTTTAACATGCATAAAACAGCCTCGACTACACATAAAACATTTTAAGAGTTGCAGTTTGTGTAACTGGAGTTAAGGTGATGAGATAAGCCTTTTTTTTTTGACGGATGTTCCTGAAACTCGTGTATTACAAATTGCATAAATCAATTGACATTGATTTCAAACTGTGTGCACACTTTTAGCAAAATGAGATCTTACTTTCTTACCGGATCTCCCATCTATAATCCCACTGCAGTGCTGGGACTACTGCACAAAATTGCTATCCAGAGTCTTGAGCGTGTAGCATGCGCTTTGACAAAGAACAGGCACTCGGCCTGCTTGTCCCTCAGGTCACTGCAGCCCTCAGAGACACTTTTGTTCTGTATGTGTGTCATCTCATGTCTGAATGGCTCTCGGGCTCTTTTGTGTCGTTCAGCTGATGCAGACCGGGGTTGTTAAAGGGGGATGGCACACTGGCAAAAACGCCATTTCATATTGGGCCATGACTAGAAAACATAAGGGGATTTCTTGGGAGCAGGGAAAACAAATTGGAGAAAATTCTCACAAAAAGTGCAGAAAAAAAACACATTTGTTTATTATGAAAATCACTCAATTCAGAGTGTACTAGTAACCAGCAGTAACCGAGAAGTAAATGGAAAGATTGTCCACGGGTAACTTATAACTTTAACACTATGATTATTATTATATATCCATTTTCTATGTTTTGGATCAATGTGAGCAATCAAGTGGGATAGCAAATGTGTTAACTTAGCAACTATGTTAATGTGACTTATCCACTAATATGAGTCACCTGTGAGCCGATTAAAACAGCATGAGGACTAGTTAGAGAAAAACACACGGCTTGAAATGACAGGTAATGGTAACTGTGGAAACAATTGGTTCTGCCCTAAATTATAAATTGTACAAACGCAAACTTCCACAAAGAGGAATAAAAACAGATTGAGCCTCATCAGAAATACCAGGATTGCTTGATGTTAGTGCAGGAGACAATTCCAAAATAATCCATGAAAATTGTCCAAATTGTTTATTTGGACAAGCAGAAAAAAGAGATTAGGTGTAGAACGTGATGCACAACCAGCATGTCAGTCTTAACTCGCATTCGACTCTGCCGAGGTTGTGAAGAGTTAAATCTCGGTGCCTCGGTGATCCATGAGCTGCAGGCTCTCAGCCTGCAGCTCATGGGGCTTTGAGTATCAATAATTGCTTGATGAAAATCAAGCTGTTCACCGGCCAGTTTCCCAATTAAGCCCCGGTGTTTACAACCCTATCACACGGCGGCTCTGACTGGGAGATCTGCGTTGCCCCTCCGTGGTATTCAGAGGACTGCCAGGGACTGTTAGCGTTCTGGGTTCACTGGGATGTAAAGAGACT